GCCGTTGAGTGCCTTCCTAAAGTCGGGCGGTGCCTCCTACAATAACCAGTTGCCGCAGCAACAGCTCTTTGCCATGCTGGCCAATAATGGTGCCGGTGCTGGAGCAGGCCTGGCCTCGCCCCGCCAGCACTTCCTGTCGCTGCGCGAGGACGAGTCCGATGGAGACGTGGACATGGAGGATGATGATCTGGCCGCTCTGCATGTCCCACTGGCGTCATCAGCAACATCTCCCCAGCAGGTCTCCTCCCTTCAGTCCGCTTCGCTGGAGACGAACGGATTCGTGGCTGACGATGGCGGTCAGTACGAGCAGGCGGAGAAGGCGCTGGCAGCCGCCGCGGCAGCGTCCAATGCGAACCACAACAACATCAACTGCCCCAAGGAGTGCAAGTGCCTGAATATCCTGTTCGACTGTGACAAGCTGCATCTGGAGAGGGTGCCCGTCCTGCCCAACTATGTGCAGACTCTGTAAGTATTATTATCTATGCCACAAATGGGGGATGAAATGGCAAACACCCCCCCAAAGCATAAATTGGAGTGTGGCACAACCCTCGAAGCGAAATTTGTTCCCATTTTTAGCATACATTTTTGTATTTGTGTTTTTGTTTTGGGGGGTTGCGATTTTATCGTCGCGCTTTTAATCAATTTAATGCATGGCAAAATTATGCAAACGCTGTTCCGTACGTTTCTTATCTCCCGCCACGCATCGATAATTATGGCGTAATTGAAGTGCATTCGTCAAGCCGGGGATTCCGCAAAACTGCAATCAATTAATTTCTATATCTCTTACCGCTTCCCACACAGGCATCTGGCGAACAACAAGCTGAACGACACGACTGTCCTGGAGATACGCAATCTGTCGAATCTGGTGAAGGTGTAAGTGCTCACGAAAGTACCACCCATTGATCAGGGGATTTGCTAACCTTAATTTCTGTCTATCTCTCGCAGCACACTGAAACGCAACTTGCTGGAGGTAATACCGAAGTTCACGGGGCTCACTGGACTCAAGCACCTGATATTGGCGAACAATCGCATACGAAGCATCTCCAGCGAGGCTCTGGCAGTACTGCCCATGCTTAAGACGCTGGATCTGTCCAGGAATCAATTGCACAGCATCGAGGCCAACTCATTTCCCACGTCCACGCGCCTGGCCCATCTGTGAGTGTCTAAGGACTGCCCCCCGCCCAGCTGTGAAAGCAGGCCGTAACTCATTTCCTTTTCTGTTCTCCCCCTCAGAATACTCAACTGGAATGAGATAGCCAATGTGGATGAGCACTCGTTTGCGGCATTGAACAACCTGACGGACCTGGAGTTGAACAACAATCGCTTGAGCAGCCTGCCGGTTGGCGTGTTCAAGAATCTGAGCCGCTTGAAGAAGCTGTAAGCTGATGATGCATTAAGATTTTCATAAGATTATAACGATGCGATCTCCGTATTTTGCAGAGCATTGAGCTACAATCATCTGGAGATTAACTGGTCCACGTTTCGGGGTCTTCTATCGCTGCAGAGGCTGCAGCTGAAGTCGAACCAAATCCGATCGCTGCAGGACGGCGTCTTCTATGTGATGCGGAACATTGAGAGCATCGAGCTGGATCACAATCAAATCAGTTCGCTCTCCCGCCAGGGCCTATTCAACCTGACGAAGCTGCACCACCTCTCGCTGTCGAACAACTCCATCTCCCGCATCGAGCTGGACACCTGGGAGTTTACACAGTCGCTGGAGTCGCTCGATCTGTCCCACAACTCCATCAGCGAGTTCAAGCCACAGCACTTGGACTGCCTGCAGCGTTTGAAGCAGCTCAATTTGGCCCACAACAAACTGCAGTATCTGCAGGAGAACACCTTCGATTGCGTGAAGAATCTGGAGGAACTGAATTTGCGTCGCAATCGTCTGTCCTGGATCATTGAGGATCAGAGTGCAATTGCGCCGTTCAAAGCGCTGCGCAAGCTGCGACGCCTCGATCTGCATGGCAATAATCTGAAACAAATCAGTGGCAAAGCCCTCAGTGGCCTCAATAACCTCGAGCTGCTGAATCTGGGCTCGAATGCTCTCGCCAGCATCCAGCCGAATGCGTTCGAGCACATGATCCGACTGCAGAAGCTGATCTTCAAGTCCCTGAACTTCATTTGCGACTGCGAGCTCATCTGGTTCCGCCAGTGGCTGCAGAGTCACTTTGCCATGCAGGCTCCCCAGTTGCTGGCGAACGTGGTCTGTGGCTATCCCGAGCACCTGCTGGATCGTCAACTGCTTACGCTGACCAACGCGGAGCTGGTGTGTGGTGAGTAGATACGAAACCTAGAGGCACTGCCTCTTGATTGAATCAACTAATCTAATCAAATCTGAAATTCCCTTAGCTGACTCGCCGAAACCGAAGCTGGAACAGGAGCCGGACAACATGTTGGCCGTGAAGGGTGCCAACATCACCTTGGAATGCATTGCCAGCTCTCCCACAGCCGCCTCCCTTGGCGGCCGCCGATGAGCTGAAGATCAAGTGGCGCCACGACAACCAGCACATTCAGGAACGTCCAACAGCCCTGCACGATGGAGCCAGCACGGAGACACAAATCCGTCACGACAAGAGCACCAATCAGACCTCCATCTATGGATATCTAAGGCTGACCAATGTGACCTACGAGAGCGCTGGACGCTTTCAGTGTGTAGTCTCGAATGCCTTTGGGACGACCTATGCGGATAAGTTCAAGATATCCATAGGAAGTAAGTGCCACATGCCACAGCATCGAATCGAATCGAATCGTTTCCCTCACAATAATCCTCGTAATGGTTTGTTCTTTCTTTATCCAGTTCATCCCAGTTTCATGCACGTGCCGTCCAACCTTACACTGGATGCTGGCGAAACAGCCAGACTTGTGTGCTCCGCCAGCGGCGATCCCATGCCGGAGATAGCTCTGCAAAAGTTCGGGGCCAGCGATTTCCCAGCGGCCACCGAGCGTCGCCTGCAAGTGATACGTGAGGAGAACGCCTTCCTGATAACCAACGCCAAGCCCAGCGACTCGGGCATCTACACGTGCACGGCGGAGAGCGCTGCTGGCGAGATCAAGGTGAACGCCACGCTGCTGGTGAACGGTATGTGTGGCAAAGCATCTCTGTTTGTGGGGCTTCAAATGATTTTTCTTTTCCATTCCTTAGACAAACCACTGCCCAGCATTCCACTGGTGCATCAGGAGGTGGTTGTCGGTCGCACCTGTGTGCTCGAGTGCCTCAGTGAGGCGGCGAACGCAGAGCTGGAGCTGGAGCATCCCCACCGCGAGTGGTTTAAGGAGAACAAGCCGATCCACATCTCACCAACGACGCCGGACGGAGAGCGTTACTACTTCACGAGCAGCAAGGAGCTGCTCGTGATTCTGAATGCCCAATCGAATGATGCGGGACACTACCGCTGCGAGATAACGGACAACTCGCGAACTCTCACCCTGCAGTCGGAGCTGGTGGTGGTCAAGGAGAACCTCAACTGGGATGTCCTGCTGCTGGGCATTGTTCTGCTGACTGTGACCTGCGTACTGGTCGACTGCTGCATCATTTGGTGCACCCTGCGCTACCAGAAGCGAAAGTTCCTGCTCAGCCTTGCTGCCGAACGACTGGCAGCACGCACCCACGCCAGCCAGCACTCCACTCTGGACAAGGATCAAACCCATTTGACCACGTTGAATCGCACCATGCTGAGGCCCCACCAGTCCCAGCTGGTCCTAGATGGGATTCCTTCCCAGCAGCAGCCAACGCAACTGCGTCCGCGCAGTCTTGCAGACCTGGGATGCGGCGATGGCCAGGGTGGGGCTCACAGTCGCCTCATTGTTACCACAACGCCTTCGTACGAGCAACGCTGCCTGGAGCAGGGTCTGACGCTCAGCTATCTGCAGCAAACCGACTTGGAGGCACAGCAGGATCATCTGTCCAGCAAGGATTCGGGTACGGGCTCAGATGCGGCAGTTAAGCGCAGCCTAGAGGATTTCGCCGTGGCCATGAGCACCCGGCACAAGAACCCCCCGCACACAGATGACGAGGAGGACAGAGATGGAGAGAACGATCTGCAATATGCTCCCACACGAGCTCTGGGCATCTCAGAGTACGACGACATGGAGCTGTTTGAACTGAATCACGCGGCGGCCGAGCAGCAGCATTTCCTGCAAAATAACAATCACAACTACGATGGGGGCGGTGGTACAGGTGGTGCAGGTGTTGGTATGGCAGGATCAGCACCCAAAGTGCTTCCACGTAAATGCAGCGCTGGTGCTGGTGCTGGTGCCGGTGTCAGTGGTAGCGCCGCCAGCAGCTACAACGCCATTCAGCAGGCCACCACAGTGGACATCTAAGAGAACGGCTAAACGGCTAAACCAAATGAAGAAAGCAGGAAAATCGATACCAAAAATACAAGTGGCTGTCTGTGGCTGCCCCACCGTGATCCGCCACCCCCCACCCCTTCCCCCCAAAATGAACAAAGACTGTTTAACCGTAATTTGTAATGTGTAATCCCACTCCCGTGGAGGAGAGAGAACAAGTGAGAGAGGAGGCCTTATCTATTGCCTATGCTATTGATTGCTATGCTATGCTATGTACGACAGCTAGAGAAACATACCAGTGTCTTCGTAATTTATGAAATGAATCATCTAAATGGATTTACTATACTTATAACCCTCCCCCCCCCTAATTGATAATCATCATCTGTATAGACAGGCTAGGACGTATGCCTAGGACATACCCATCGTGTATTTTATAATTTTTGTTTCGCTTGTGATATTATTTTTTATTTCGATTGCCCGAGTTTTAAGCGTAACATAGCACACACCCAACACAACCATAAACGACTCTGTATATACCACATACATAGTTTTTAGCTCTAACTAAACCACAAGTAGTTCTGTAAGTTCTGTATGCCCACAACACCCACCCCACACTGCACGATTAACCCACGAAATGGGGTTCAGCTGAGTGGGATGGGCGGATTATTATAGTGTGTACCATTGATGGATATTTTGATAATGGATAACCACTCGTACTATTTGTTTGAAATTGAAATTTATTTGCCTTATGGATTGGCCTTGACGAAATCATTGATTTAAATTTGGATGAAATTGAATTGGATTAATTAAATGATGCATTATTCAAAGTATATAAAACATACATACAATACTATATACATTCTACGAGTTTTTACTGACACAAGGGCGGAGGCTGAGCATGGATCTTCGCAAGCATTTGTAGTTGGTAGTTGGATGGTACAAAAAAAAATGAACAGTAAAATGATGTGTCAGGTGGAGTCCTCCTCTGAGCTATCGCTGTAGGCGGCTAGAAGGGATAGACCCGCTGCTGGAGTTGGGGCTGGAGCTGCAGCTGCTTTTGGAATATCCGTTGATGTGGCCGCTGCCTTTGGTTTGACCAGCACCAAGGGTGTTTTACGTTTAACCAAGGGCTGAGCGACCGATACTTTGCTTGTGGTGGGGGCCACTGGATGAGAGCCAATGGGTTTGGCCAATTTAGCCGGAGGGGGAGCTGGCAAGGAGTCGGCAGCCTCCTCTTTGACGTCTTCAATGATTTCTTCGGCTACTATCCGGCTGCCACCCTCGGACTTGCTTTTAAAGTTGACAGATCTGGAATGGGAATGCGATACATATATGCATAGTCTGCTTGAGAAAGATTAAGTGCAGCACTCACTTGATAAACTCCTCATCCTCACGCTCCTCGCGCTCCAAGCGTTCTCTCTCCGTTTCCCCCGTATTATATTGCTGCAGCATTGTTGTGTAGTCCACCGTCTGCTGGCGTCTGTTCAGGTCGCGCAACTCCTCGAGACTCTCCAGCATTTCAATTTCATTCCGCGATTGCTCGGTGCGATTCTCGAGCATTTTCATGGGATTATTCGCCTCCTCCTCGCGTTCCTCTTGCTGTTCGCGCCGGGCCTGCTCCTCGGCCAGCTTTAGGGCCATGAAATTGCGCGTGGCTCCCGCCTCGATCTCGTAGTCGGTGTTCTGTGGATCCGTTTTGAATGAGATCTCCTGCAGACATCGGGTGCACTTGATGTAGAACCTGTAGATGCGTATGCCCAGGTACGTCTCGTTCTCCACATCCTCCTTGCGCGCATTGAACTTCTTCCCCTTGTAGATGTACTCGCCGCAGGTCACGCATCGCATATTGAACGGCGCCATCAGTCGGACGGTGTATTGCCGATTTTTGGCCAATTTCATCCGCGGAATCTTCGACGGATCGAAGTCCGGAGGATAGTATTTCTGTAATGCATTGGAATTAGTCGTGATCTTAGCACCGTTCCGTACATATTTTTTGGACTTACATTAAGAACTTTTCGCTCAGACATTTTGTAAAATTGGAAACGACGCTACGCTTGTAAATAAAAATGTTTAATTTTATATTTGGAAGGCAATCAGCTGTTTCGGCCAAGAGACAGTGCTGCAAAACGTCCACAGTGTACAATGATGTGACAATACTGTTGTCTCACTCTTCCTTTGCCGCCAACTGTTTGATATAAATTCGAATTTACAAAATCTGTATATTTTCCATTTATTATCATTTTAAATGCAGTGGTTTTTGCTTTAGACACATTTCTTTGGCTACTATTGCTGCTAAGTTATACTTGTTTAATACAATTACAATAAATACACAAACGACGATCACTTTGAGGTCACATAATGCTGCTGCTGTTCGTGGCGCTGTCATCGCTGTTCCTCTGCAGGCCAGAGAATCGAGCGGGTAGCTGCAAGGTGGGTACACCGCTCTCTGGATCTGCGCCCGGAGCCGAGGCAACTACATAGCCAGCAGCCACCTCGGGGAAGCTCACCTTTTTGGCCGCCGTGGCAGGCTTCGGGCGCCCCTCTAGCTTGAGTGCGGCCCGCGGAATCTTGTGCTTCACCAGCTCGTAGGTGCAGGCATAGAGGAATGTGTACTGCTGCTGCGTCTGCACCATTTTCATGCGCTGAAACAGAAAGCCAATGAGAAAAAAACGCCTCGCATCGAGCGGCCTGGATCGGATTCGTCTACCTGGAAGCGCAGCTTCTTGACCGTTTCAAATATATTGATTTTCGACTCGCTCTTCAAGCGCTGCATAATCAAGTCGAGTCCAATGAAGGTCCCGGTCCTGCCCACGCCCGCGCTGCAATGGACGACGATGGGTGAGTAGCTGGGCCGCCGCTCTGACTTGACCTTCTTTACGAAGGCGATGAGGTGCATGGGATCCTCGGGGCAGCCGTGATCGGGCCACTTCTTAAAGTAGAAGTGCACGACCTTCTCCTTCAGACCGTACTTGTCGTGCACCACCGATAGCTCGGTCCGATCGTAGAGCTCAAAGTTCTCCTTGGACTTGACGGTCACCGTCAGTCCGCGCATGTTGTACGGGAAGTACTCGTGGCACTTTATCTGGCGTGGGATTCGCTTTTAGCTTAAGTTCGACCAGAGCAGCGTGCTAGATAGAGCTCACCGTATTGCCCTCGCGCAGTTGGGTCACCTGGACAATGACTCGCACATTGTGTTGGAGAATCATGCGCCAGAAGTCCATGAGGCTCTCCGGCTTTGGTCCCTGGGTGGCAATGTACTCCTTCTTGCGGGTGTGTCCCTACCAAATGGAGGCAGTGGGGGTGAGGATGAGGGGACAGCAAATGTGGTGGCACTTACGTCTATGAATGAGGCATTGATATAGTCCGATCCCTCCGCATCTGTGTCCAGGATAACGCGGTTCTTGTCGTCTGTGGAAGGGAAATCAAATTCGATTTTAGGCCCCCAAGGGAGTGCGCGCTACCCACTCACAAGGATATATGTCCGCATAGCGATTCTTGTGGCAGCCCAGCTCGGAGGCCGAGTAGCTCAGCTCCAGGGCCACGACGGTTATCTCCTTGAACTCGCGGGCCAGCTTCTCCGGCTTGGCCACCTCTGCGTAGAAAATGGCAAAGTTCTTGGCTATCACATTGCCAAATGGGTCCTCAATGCCCTGGCCAGAGTCGCGATGCCTGTGCCGAACGGAGGACATACAAAAACGAATCAGAATCACTTTGTTCCGGGTTCTGGGCGGCTGGCACCTACCACGCTAGACGCTTGCGCACCCACAGCACAGCGAGGCGTGTCCGCCATGAGCGGCCCATTGCAGTAGCGCTTGCCATTCGGGCACTTGTCCTCGCCGATGGTGAAGACGATTTCGTTGCCAGAGCCCCTTTCCCTGGCGACTGTGTCCGGGTTCCAGCGTTCTTCCGTCGTCTGGTACTGATAGACGCAGCCCGTCATGCCGTCTCCGCCTGCCGTCTCATAGGACTGAACGTCTGGCCACGCCGAGGCGGCGTTCACCAGGGCGGAGCCCAGCTCCGGCGTTTCGGCACAGCTCTTCTGCGAGAGCAGCAAGGCGATGTAGGTGATGTTGCCCGACTCGGAGCTCTGGATATCCGCAGGCAGGCGCACGATGGCCGATCGCGTTGGGTGACTTGTCTCGTTCGGGCTGACCCGCATTTGGCCCACAACTTCATTGCTCAGGCGAGCCGGAACTGGAGAGATAAGAGGTGAGCCGTTGAAGCGACCAGAGTGGAAGGGAGATTAGAATGCCTCGAGTTATGCTTACGACCAGCTGGAGACTGCCACTGGGACACTACGCTGTCGCTGAGGGTGTCCACATCCACGTTCTTCACGGCCACATTCACTGTGTAGTCGTACTCCGGCTTCATTTCCGTCTCCGTCCCGGACATGCGTCCCTTGCGGTCCGTCCTGTTAGGCTCCACGATGCGCTGGAACTCGACTCTCTCGTGTGCGGCCCGCTCGCCAGTGAAGTCAAGGACGAACGCCTCGATCCTCCCGTTGGACTTGCAGGGCGACGTCCAGGTGATGGTCGCATTGGCGTTGTAGCTGTCTGTAGGCTCCAGCGACGGACCCATGGGATTGACGGTCAGTTTGGTGACCCTCTCAGAGAAATTCGAAATGTGAAAGGACCTCGACAAAATAATCTCCTAAATGTAAGCCCAGTACGGGTGGGAGTTTGTTGCCAAAACTGGCAATTTGCTAAAGTTTTCCCCGCCCCACAAAAGTAAACAGACGACGGACTACAGATGGGGTGCTGGCTGCGTCCGTGGGGGGTGGAGGGCAGAGGGATATAAAAGTCAAAGCTTGTCTGATAGCTGGCAGGGGAGCCAGGGCAGGGGCAGGGGCAGGGGCAGGCTTATCTTCGCTCACTTTCCGCATCGTCGCAGGACCCAACGCACTTGTTGAGCATTTTCAACAAAATGTGTCAAAGAAATTGAAATTCTGTCTGACTGTCTAAATGCCCGTCTAGGGGAGGGGGTAGTGCCAAGAGACAAGTGCAACGAGGGAGTGGAGCTTTTTCCTGGGATGGATGCCAGTGTCAGAGTCCGTGGTCGAGCAGAATGTGACCTTGATGCCAGAAGGCGGTTAAAGAACGTTGGATAAAATGCCAAAACATTGTTAAAACATGATGCAGTCTGCACACGATTTGCTGAACCGCTTCAGGCGCTCCTGCTCGGCAGCAACGTAACCCAATTTCAATTCCGGTCAAGAGTTGAGGCCTGACCTTGTCCCTGTTAGCGGTGCAATGAGCTGTTAGCCGCAGCGATAGCAGCATCTATCCCTTGGCCTTGGCATCCAGTTGCTTCTCCGACTCTTGCCTACCCCCATCAAAAAGCATGCAACTCTGTTGCAACCGTCAGGGACAACGACGGACTGCCATGTCCTGCAGGGCAGTTTAAACACGTTTCACATGCGCTCTTTTTTCTCCTCCAGTCGATGGCCGAATTTTTATTTACTTTTCAACATTTTCCATATGGTCTGGATGGATTGTGGGCGGAGTGGGTGCCCACGGGCAGCAGCAGCAGAGCTGTGAGTTTAATAAGTTAAAACTTTTTTGCATTTGAATTTTGCATGGATTACGGATCCAGAATCCATTCATGCCGACAAACGCACAATATGTGGGTGGGGGTGGGGGTTGGGTGCTTGCATTCAAATTTCCAGCAGATTGCGTTGACGGCTTCGTCAACTGTTTAATAGCGGATTCTCGAGAGGATTGGGCCATTGGTTTTGCATAATGAATGACAGCAAATGGCCAACGAGTGATTTCCCCAAAGCAATGGCACGAATGTGCAGTGTGCCAAAGGTCGCATCGATTTGATATTTAAATTTTGTATCCCAAAAACAAAAGCAAACTTTGTTTTCCCGCTGCCTCGTTATCATAGAGTTAAGACAACTTTAGAATTAAGTTATTTGGACAATTTAAGTGTGGAATTATTGGTCTTTGGTTTTTTCTAAAATATAAACATTATTAAATGCTCTAAAAAGAAAGGCATATTGGGAATCAAAATGCTCAACTGATCCCTAGCCGGTACTCGTAAATAGAGACAAAAAAGTATTTATATTCGTCCATCTGCGAACCTATTAAAAATAAGCCGAAAAAATACCATCGATCAGTCAATACGAATCAGTTATATTAATATTTTTCAATCTTATTACACTACCCAAATGAATATCTCCAATGTGTGCACGTTAAAGGCCAAAGGGGCAATTCTACGTGCTTTCTACATTAATGCCGCATGTCGATGTCATGTCATTGTCGTGTATGCATTTGTCGACGGATGTAAGTACGAGCACTGACTAAAAGCTTTTCAGTAAAAACAATATCTAAATGTTGTTCAAAGAAAATCAGCCAAGAAAGACACAATTGTTGAGCTGTTAATTTCCTCCTTTTGGTGGTCTCTACAACCCAACTCTCCCATTCTGCCCATTTACCTATGATATTTTGACTCAAATAGATCCCAATCGATCCACTCCAATCAGAGGAAGGCATGCCACTCCCAAATGGGCATACACGTGTGGCATATACCAGAATATATATTTATATATTATATATTCTAACTCGATTATGCGCGCTTTAATTTCATTATTCGCCTACCTTTCATACCAAGGAGTTTTTGCACAATTCTGTTAGCCGTTAGCCGTAAGCAACACGCCATGGATATACAAGGGAAACGGCTGATATTTGGTCTGTGCGTATTTGTGGGCATCTGGAATTGGCAGATCGGTGAAGTTAACTCTTCCGGCTGCCATTATTTCAGCACAGAACAGGTAAGAGTAAACGTATTTCTGTGTTACTTATCGAAAAACAAGCTGATATCTGCCACAAATAGCGGGACTGGTTTGAAGCCCTGTTTGCCTGCCAACAAATGCATATGTGCTTGGCTGACTTGCACACCAGAGTTATCTTCGATGAACTCGAAAATAAACTGCAGGAACGCGCAGAGTTTTGGTTCGGTCTAAATGTGTATGAGAAACTCGACTTTAAATACATATCCAATGACAGACCCAAGGAATACGTGCCGCCACAATCGGAGATGTCATTCAATAAAGCGTGCGCGTTCCTAAAACCTCTAGGAACTGACGCCATAATCATTGGCACAGACAATTGTGGACTGCGCAAACGATTTGTGTGCACCCCTTCCAAACACTGCAATGGCCATAAGACGAACAGCACTGTTTCCACCGACTATCCCCATACAATGCCCTGCATCATGAGCGCCGAAATATCTCATATACTTGGTATTTAAAAACCATGAACTTTTTGTACAGCTGCTAGTATTTTAATAAATTACTCTGGCTGAACTTTGAACTCCAAAAAGACATCAACGCTTAGATTGTGAGAATTAGGCCCTGTGGCCCTCAGACGCCATGCGCCTTTTCTCCTTTTTTTAACTGAGACAAATATGATCGACATTTGGTTTTGTACGCCTGAACAATGCGGCCTCCAGGTGAAAGAGCAATCGCTGCATGGATCTTTAATGAAAACACACAATTAGAACTCGGCACATTTATGGCAGGGTACATAAAAGCTTACCTCCAGGTACTGCAGCTCGCTTTCAAAGTGCAACGACTCTTCCAGCAGACCCAGGGCAACCTGGAAATGATCTGGTCGCAGGAGGTAGGACATTTCACCAATGTTCTGCTTGTACCACTTGGCGTAGTTATCGAGATTGCTGTGTATGTCCATTGTGCAGGCTGACGTGGCACGCGCCGTCAGCAGCAAATGCAAAAGAGAAGCCAGGCAACCACTTGTGGCCATGTGCAGTACTCGGCTCTTGAGGTATTCTATGATAAAAGTTGGACATGCATAATTATCCATGGGTATTGGGCATACAAATTGGTGCAGTGAATACTTTTAATAAATGCAGTTGTTTCCGCAGTGCAGGTGCTGGCTATAGACTGCACCAAGATGAGGTAGAACTTCCAATTCGTAAAGTTTTCCGCGTTTGACTGTTTGAACAGCACTTGAAGGGCTTCCTGGTGGTGGCGGGCAAAGAGCTGAAAGATGTTTCAGTTAGTCTCAGCACCTATGCCTCATCGGACAGTTGAAACCTTTTCACAGAGATGCTTGACAAAGGTTAGTTCGTCCACACCCTCATTGATCCAGGCGCTAAAGCTGGCAAATGCCTCATTGGTGTTTGCAGAATGGTGCAGTTCCAGCAGGGTGCCCAAATGAATATTCATGCACATGCCCATGGCGTCGGCTGCAAGCATCTGCGCATTATTTGGAAGCTTTTTCGGGTGAGATCCTCTTACCTGGCAGCGCTCTGGACAGCGGCTCGGCATAGCTTAGGTCGCTTATCTTCGGATCGGCCACGAGTCCAGCAAAGAGATTGCCCAAGGCGTTTGTCAGTATAGCCGCCAGCTTCATTCCAGACTCTGCATCTGCCAACAAAATAGAGGCGCATAAGATGCGGAAACAATTTTTTATTTTAGCTCAACCAACCATACGCCACAGATAAAAAGAGATTTGCCAGGAGCTCGTACTCAGTTTCCAGAAATATTATTAAATCCACCTGGAGCTGCTCTGAGTGTTCCTTGCTTCCTTGGTATCAGGGAAAGTGTCATTGTCTCATATTGATCATTACATTGATATTGGGCCATACCTTAATATGTACTCCGTGGCGGTTAGGATCCGCAATTGCTGTAGTTGGAGTAGAACCCGAAAGCTGCCAACATTCGCTGGTAGCTGGCAATAGAACTTGGACGCCAATAGCTAGAAGGTAACTTTTTTATTTACATGCAACGATATTGTGCTAAATATCTCACCCTTTCTTTGGCGTTCAATTGTCTCAAGAGTTGGACCAGCTCGTACCTGGCCACAGGTCCCTGCTGCAGAATTCCGCATTGTGTTTGTATGACCTATGTGGTAATAACAGCTGTTAGATTCCCACGAACTATTCTCAATCTACTTACTTACCCTGCAAACTAGCGGAAAGCAGTTGCTAATAGTTGACAAATTTCTATTTTGCATCATTTTTAAAGGCTCCGCTATCTTCGCTATCAATATATCGATATATATTGTCTTGTTGATAATATATTTGTAACATATATTTGCGAAATTATCGGTATTTTTGTGCGATAGGCAGAACTTATCGGACAAGCAATCATTTTTGAATTCCAAACATTAACGGCTTCACTTCGTTTGAACATTTTTGCAAGAATCATCTTTCATATAAAAGATAACAATAAAAACTGACGAAAATTATGATGATGCACTTCAAAGTTTATTTAATTAATGGTAAATGGGCTAAATTGTTCAACTATCAATAAATTCAGAAAATGTTGAAGGGACCATTTCTGAAATAAATATATCCAATCCATTTGGCATGCCTCTGTGGAGAACACAATTCTCCATGCCCAAATCGGAATAAGTCGGTTTAGTGGCTGCTGGTCGTGGCTTTGGCTGTGCAGTGCAAAACTTTGTATTGAAGGCAATATGGCTCGAGATCGAGGCCTCCGATTCGTAACCCTCATATCCATAGTTTTTTGTATTTCGATCATCGACACTGGTCGAGTGGAGGCGAGAGGAGCTTGCCACTATTTCAGTGTAGTAGCGGTAGCTATGGCGATCATACATGTTCCAAACATATTCTACAGATCTCGTTCACGTAGCGAAACTGGACCGGTGCATTAAACATATGCATGGGAATGAGCATGTGCCTGGCAGACTTTGATACACCCAAACACTTTGAAATTCTGAACTCCCTCAGTGTAAGTCACTCGGAGTACTGGTTTGGCTTGAACAAACATTTCCAGCCGAAATGGTCATACGTGACAAATAAGTTCAAGAAGCCCTCCTTGCCAGCCGCACATAATTTGAACGCAGACCATCACTGTGGCCTTGTCAAGGCTGGGAGAGAGAAAACCTTCACTGTCCGCTCTGACGACTGTGGGGAAACGAAGATGTTTGTCTGCGCGGAATCTGTGTTCTGCAAGCAGAAGCGAGAGTTCAGCAGATATTCGAGTGGCTACAATTCGTTGCCGATGCCTGAACCACGACGGCACGGCACTGGCTGCGGTAGATAAACCAGATCTAGTTTCTAGTACACATGTAGACAGCAATTCGTAATTCGCGGGATATCAATAAACAAAATGCATGAAGCGGTTACATTTCTAATTGTTCCTTTTTTACTCGCTGGAAGTATTCATGTTTATGAAGCTATCTACTATCCTAGCTACTGGCACTGCCACAACTACTTGACGCAATAGTCCTTGCGTTGCTGCCGAATGACAGCATTCAGCTTGAGGCACTGCTGTCGCAGCCCATCGTTGTCGCCCTTCAGTATCTCTATGGTTTCCTCCTGCCGGTGAATGGTTTGGTGGACCCTGCAAGTCGAGCAATGCACATTAAATACAATACGGAAATGCGGAAGGGTGTGGAGGGCTTACCGTTTCTGCAGCTGCTCCATTTCCTGCTTGTGGCGCTCGCTGAGGACGCTCAGCTCGCTCTGAATGTCCGCATTGAGATTGTCGCGCAGTTTGTCGCGCTCGCTGATGATGTCGCCGCACATCTTCTTGCTGTGCCTGAGCTCCAGCTGCAGTTGCTGGACCTCCGCTTGGGAGTTGCGCATCTGGGCATCGGCCTCGGCCAGCTTGCCCCGCGTCTCGGCATACTTCTCCCTCAGCGACTTCTCCACACTCTCGGCCAGGGTCAGATCCTTCTCGTACTTGTCCTTGAGGCGACTGCAGTGTAGCCGATAGCTGAATGTAATTACTCAATCAATTACATTGAAATTACTCACGCGATCTTCTGTTCGTGCTCCTCGCCGTTCTGCAGGGCATCGGCCTCCATACGCACCACCAGCTCGTCCAACTGGCGATCGCGCTCCGCCCGATAGTGCTGCCTGATGGCATTCTCCTTCTCGGCCTGGTCCATCTTGCACTTGTTCTCGTACTCCGCCTTCCACAGCTCGAAGTCGGACAGGTACTGCTGCTCGATGGTGTTGATGCGGTTTTGGTACTTCTCCTCCTGCTTGGCCATCCGCTCCTGCATCTCGAACTTGGCCTGCTCCAGTTCGCTGTCCTGCTCGCGTTGCGCCTCCTGGCGCTTGGCCTGGTAGTCGCCCTCCTTCTGCCGCAACTCCGTCTGCAGGCGCTCCCGTTCGGCGGCGAATTCCTCGCTCAGCTTTTGCCGCTGCTCCGCCTGGGCACTCTGCTCCTCCTGCAGCTGGCGCTCGAAGCGTTCCCGAATGGCCGTGCGCTCCTTCTCGATTATGGACTCGCGATCCTGTGCACAGCTCTCCCGTATGCCCGTCTCGATCTGCTCGTGCTTCAGGCGCGCCTCCTCGAGGGCGTCCAGCAACTGCATCTGATGGCTGCGCTTCAGCTCCGTCACCTCCCGCTGATGGTCGCAGTTCATTTTGTTGATCTCCGCCTCCAGGCCCTTCACCGTCAGCTCCTGACAGCGCCGAAATGGAAATAAATATTGGAAATACAAATGCCGCACCATACCTTTGGTAACCCACCTTGATCTTCTTGGTGTTCTCGCGGACCCAGCGCTCGCGTCGGATCTTCTCGCCGGCCAGTGTCGTCTCCTTGGCCCGCGCCAGCTCCGTCTCCAGTCGATGCTCCCAGGCCTGGTTCTGGCTCTCCAGACGGCGCGTCAGGGCAGCCACCTTCTCGCACAGCGATCCCTTGTCCTTCAGCAGCTGCTCAATGAAGCCCTGATGGCGGGTCACCACCTCCTCGTAGTGTTTCTTCTGGTCGCGCAGCTTGCCGGCATTGCTGCTCTTCTCGGCACGCAGCGACTTTTGCTTATCCTCGCGCAACTGCAGCACATGCTCCTTGGACATGTGAATGGCATTGGCCAGCTCATTGGCGCGCAGGCTCAGGCCGATGACGCGGCGGGCCAGCTGATGATTGGGCAGCATCAGCAGTTCCGATAGCCTGGGGACAGGATAAAGTAAAGCTAGAAGGGCATGCATCGATCACCTTTTGGATCACCTACTTGGGCACTTCGTCCGTTATGTCGGGCTCCACCACAAACTCAACCTCCGAGCGATTGCTGTCCGGCATGGAGCGACGCGTTTCCATCAGCGTCTTGTCACAGCTGCTCTCCACATTGTTCAGATAGGCCAGGATGTCCCTGCAAATGTTTACATTCACCTTGAAATGAGTACCGTACCCCGCAGCCCCGCAGCCCCGCACCCCCTCAGCCCGTAGTCCCTTTGATATTTACTTGTACTTGTCGCCGCTCTCCTGGACAGCTGCCTCACTCAGAGTCACCTCTGTCTCGGCGGTTTCGCAGCGGGAATGGGAATCCAACTTCAGGTTGAGCTTTAGGTCGCCGGGCAGACGTTCGGCATAGTTATCTGTGGACACAGATAAGTACTATCTGTACTCCACTCGGACTAATAACTTACCTCTCTTCTTGTCCTCTTCGATCTCCTTGATCACCGACACGATCTCATCGTAGGTGGAGTCCCTGGAGTCCTCCTCGTTTGACTTCAGCGACAGCTGCGACCCACTGTCGATGTCATTGGCCTCCTCCAGTCCATCCAGGGCAAGGCCCTGCTTGTGCAACGCCTCAAACTGGGCCAGTGTCTGCTTCTGCTCCTGCATGCTCATCCAGCTATCCACCTTGTCCAGATTGTACTCACTGAGCTTCCGCTCCTCCCGCAGGCTGCCCACACTGACCGCCTTCTTGAGCGTCTTCCCAGCTGGACAGTTTGTCTTTGGCAGCTTCGATTTGTTGCTGTTGCTGTTGCTGCTGGCCTCGGCACTGGCTGGCTTGACGTTCTCCTTCTTCTTACCCACAAATGGCGGAGTGGATGCCACCTTTAGGTAGTTGCTGATGACGGAGTCTGCGCTGCTGTTGCCATTGCCATTGCCATTGCCATTGCCATTGCCAAACTGTCGTCGATCTTCGTGGATCACTGCTGGCAGAAAGTTGTTCTCGGCCCCAAAATTGCGACCGCTGGCACTGGCTCTGTAGGGGGGGCCGTTATCCTTGGGACTCGGACCACTCGGAATGGCAGTGGCCAGGTTCTTGGTCTCGGACAGATTGTTCTGCTTTTCCTTGGCAGCTGGCGGGACTGCAACTGCAACTGGAAGTGGAAGTGGAAGTGGTGCATACTTGTCCAGATAGCTGGGCAGCGGCTTGGCAATGTTGTTCAATGTTGGCTCCATGGCGAGATGATTCCTCACGAGCTGCACCTGCACCTGCACCCCCACTGCCTGCTTGTACTCCCTTATGACGTTCAGCTCTGGCGTGGAAGCCTTGGGGGGAACCACCTGAAGAGCAGAGGGCGCAGAAGGAGCAGGAGGAAGCGCCATGTCCAGCAGCGGAGTGGACTCCAAATAGCGACAGCTGGGCGCGTCGCAGGCACACCTGACCTCAGCCGAGGAGGAGGCCTCATTCGTGCTGGTGGTGGAGGAGGAGCGCGTGCTGCAGGTGCAGTTCTCCGAGGGGCACTTGGGGTACTCGTACGTCTCGGCCAGAACACCCCCCACCTCGCCCGCTGCGGTGGAGCCAAAGTGCACGGATTTCTTCTGGCCAGACGCATCCGGCGGCGGCTCCGCCTTGCTGCCGTGGGGCAGGAAACTGGGCAGCGTGAGGGGGCCGGGGGCGGAGATGCTGGGCCGCGCTTCCTGCTTGTCATTGTCGCAGTCGCTGGAGTCGGCATCGTGCTGCATGTTGGGCTTGCTGAAGGACACACGCCCCGGCAGATCCGGCTTGGCCGTCTTCTGCAGCAGGGCCGCATTGCTGAGGCCCAGACCCTGGCTCCAGTTGGAGGCAAAGGACTTGTTGTTCTTATCCCCCCCGGCGGGCATATTCACCAGGAAGCGCTCAAAATGCTGCTGCTGCTGCTGCTGCTGCTCCCCCTCGCTGCTGTCGGGGGTGCGCTTGTGCGAGGATAAGTCCGACTCCGAGGAGTTGCACGCGCTGCGGCACAACCAGCTACGCCTGATGGGCTCGCCCAGCAGGGACTTGAGCAAGTCGTTGGAAGACACTTGCCGCTGAAGATGAACAATCGGGAATACAATCGTGGCTAAGGGGGCTAAGGGGGCTCCAACTAACCTTGTTGTGTGACTTGAGGTCCTTGTCGTTGAAGTAGTTGCTCAGCCGTTGGCCGAACTTCGGATCCGCGGACTGTGGTCGTCCCAGGAAGGGCGAGGAGCGACTGCGTTGCTGCAGAAAGTTTGCCGAACGGGGCCGAAAGTGCGGAGGACTCGGATTGTGGAGAGTCGTCAACGAGCGGCTGTTGTACTTCGGTTTCGATTTCTGTCGTGTGGCGAGGTTTATCTACGGCCGACACCAAAGCAAAGAGGAGTACACATAGGATAATATTCCCAGGATGGGCAGTTGTCGAGTGGGGAGTGTTGAGTGGAGAGTGGGGAGAGGGGTGCGTACCTGCGAGCCCTGAAGACATAGATCCATAATCGCTTGCAAATAATTATTTAATCAGTAATCGGTGGAGTGGGCAGGCGGCTCATCTACGTGGGTTTTCAACTGACTGGAGTGCCATGGCCAACTAAACTGAAACCCCATTCGATAATTTGTTAGCTGTGCCCGTGCCCGTGCCCGTGCCCATGCCATGGTCGAAGGAAAACCACCCTGCGGCAGCGGGACTATCGATTTAACGCATGTGTCAGGGGTCAGGTGCAGGACAGATGTTGACCACTGCCAGTGCAACCCCCAAAACAGTCCGAACCTGTGCCATGGTTACCATATGCCACGTCCAACCCCTGACATGGTGTACACGGTACAGGTACCAGTACAAGTACAGGTGTCTTCCACATGGACTCGATCCACGTGACGCGCAGCGGCGTCTATGATTCACCATTCAGCGTTGCTCTTTTACCAATTCAATTGAATTATTTTGCTATAATTTATTATGTTTGCAATCAATCACTGAGACTATCGCTGCACAGACAAAAACCCAAATACCGAATCAAAGCAATTAATCATGGACGGCAGGCAGCCGATTGCGAGGCGAAGCGAAGGACAGGCTACAGCACCGCAGCCTAAGGGTTCACTGCCAGAGACTTCACACAGCACTCAGCAAACACTTTCGTTTTTCATTCACAGCTCACAGCTCACAGCTCACAATTCTCATTCATTGTGATCGTATGGGGCCGAGGTATTCATTCATATTTTTATACGGCTGGGGTGCCAAGGATTTCTTCCCGTTGCTCAGCTGCAGCATTTCCGATTAGGGCTAACTTGTATGCGAAACCTTTTCAGCTGGAAAGTTGTAACAATCTTTGGCTTTTCGTTGGACTTTAAACCGTTCTCGTGCAGTCTCAGTGCCGCTTGTAAATCAACTTTATCGGCGATTGATAAGGCTTATCTTAGTCGAACAAACTTAAAGGCAAGAAGCAAAACAAAGTCGAAGAGGAAATGCCAAACACTGTTTTTCGTTCATACGTTTTTAATAATAATAATTTATTTAAATAAAGCAAATGGTTTTTATCTATTTAAATAAACGTAGTTTGGTGTAGCAGGTGGGCCAACAGCTATCCTCCGCAGCTGACGGCTGTTACCATGATCATCATAGTCCAATGTGGGTGCATGGATGCTCCATTATCCATTATCCCTTATCCATTCTCCATTGTCTCTGCAATACTCTACTCTCGATACTGACTGATGCGCGAAGCATAAAATTAAATTTGGCAACATTTCTCCTCCCTCATCTCCTCCCCCCACATAATTAGCAACTCAACTTAGCAGCTAGCACAAAACACAAAGCACAAAACACAATACACAATCCGTCCGTCCATCCATCCGTCCGTCCATCCATCCATCCGTCCGTCCGTCCGTCCGTCCGTCCTTCCTCTTTAACAGCAATTGAACTAATCCCGGCCAGACATCTCTCTGCCCCACATCTATTCCGCACGCAGCACGGGCGTCACCTGGACATCATCCGCCTGCCCATCGTTCTTGATGTCGAACTTCAGCTTGGCCAGATCCTTCAGCTCTCCGTCCGAGGACTCGCCACTCACCACTTTGACGGTGTCGGGATAGTTGTTATCGCCACCGCCCAGCTCCTGGGAGAAGCTCACGACGGTCTTGGGCTCGTAGTTGACGCCGAGGGCACCGCTGGGGTCCGGCGTGGGTATGCTGGGGCCATCGCCATTGGTGTGGGAAATGGTGATGCCATCGGCGGCCTGGCTATCATTTGTGGCAACGCCGTTTTGGACAACCTCCACCTGGGCCTCAACGGGAGAGGGCGTACGCGCTGCTGTAGCTGGGATCTCTGCCTCTGGCTCAATCTTCCTCTCAACGGGCACTGGCACTGCAGCTGGAACTGCAGCTGGAACTGCAGCTGGAGTGGATTCTGCTTCTGCTTCTGGCTCTGGCTCTGCCTCGGTCTTGTCATCATCCTCCCCAGCCACCGCCTTGTTGACCTCCTCAATGGCCCTGGCCACCTCCTCGGGTGCGACATAGTCCTGCTCCGCATGCCCATTGCTGCTGGGTGCTTCCTCACTGTGGCCATTGGTGACAGCCACAACTGTCTCTGGTTCGCTAATCAGGGCAGATGTAGTCACTGGTGTGGCATACTCCTGCTGCTGCTGCTGCTGCTTCTGCTCTTCCTCCTCCTCCTCTCCGACCTTCTCGTGCACCGGTGCTGGCATTTCCAGAGATGGATTTATAGCCGGACTGGCCATGGTCTCCACAAAGGAGGTGCGATTGGGCGAGTCTGGGGAGATCACGACGTGGGTGAAGTAGCCACTGCGACGGTTCTCAAAATCCAGCACATTCTCCTTGGCCAGGCGCTCTTGGATGCGGCGCTGACGTCTGATGAACTCCGGCACATTGTCGTCCTCGGCCTCGGCGGGTGGCGGAGATGCCGCCGCCGTCTTCGGACGCCGCAGCACCACCTTGGCCGCCTCATTCTCTCCCCCTGCAGCGGTGCCATTGCCGTTCACCGAGCCATTCCCATTCCCGTTCCCGTTGGCGGCCCAGCTGCTGGCCGCAGTCGATGGCTTGAAGACACCATTGAATTTGGTGCCGACGATGAATTTGTTGCTCTCGCCACCGTTGCTCCAGTTGCTCCCGTTGCTGGCGTTGCTGTTGTTGGTGGCACTCTTGTAGGCATTGTAGTTGTTGTTGTTGTTGTTGTTGGCTGTACTCGGCTGGGGCGACAACGGACTGCTGCCATTCTCCTCGGCCTTGGGCGATTTGTTGCCGATGGTGAAGTTGGGCTTGCCATGGCTGATCAGCAGCTTGGCGGCCGGCGAGGGGCTCTTGTCCGGCAGCGGTGAGGGCAGGCCACTCCGAATCTGTATGCTCGGCTTGTTGTTGATCGTCTCCGCCATATCTGTGTATCTGTGTGCTTCGGTATGTGTGTGTGTGTGTGTGAGATGGCTTTTACTTTCCGTTTCCGTTACTCGTTCGCTATCCGCTGCTCTAACGGGTCTTTGGGTCTTTCTTTGTTGGCGCTGAGCTACAAAAAACAAAAAACAGAACAAAACGAAAACAGCAAACAAATTAATAAAACATTTAAAGTGCCAAAAATTAAATCAGTCAAAATTTAAACATGCAAATTTTGTTTGGCTCATCATATCCATGCTCATGGGGTGAAAATCGCGAGTATATAAAATCTACAATTTAATTACAGCAATTTTATTTGATTGAGAGAAACCCGCTGTCGCTGTCGCTGTCGCTGCCGCTGGACTTATAGCGGACTAAAGCCCTAACGCAAGGCTCTTGGCCATTTATAACCCACCAAAGGCTGCCCCAGATACAGTTGACCAACTACTATTGTAATCATGAGTCATTTGGGCCAACTTTGATTAAGTTAATTTTCATTTGAAGAGTTTGTTTCGCTGCCTTTGCCCACGATTAAGATTAAGATTAAGATTAATTGAGTGGCTTTCACAGCACACTTTACAGATGTCAAGAACACCAATGGAACACTCATTTGTTTATTTATTCTAAATATATACAGACTATGTGTGTGTGTTACTTTTACAAGCAAAAGCCTTGCAATCGGTTCACATGGCGTATGCGCAATTACGCAACTTCAGCCAGTGCCAATGGCAGGGTCAGCCGCTGTCTACAGTCTACGGCCAGGCCGAAAACAAATGCCAGTTGATCGTTGATTGTTGATAGAGGTAAACATGCTTAAATATCAATTAGATCGATTGGGGCATGGGGGTTGGGGTTGTCCCAGTGCGATTCCCGGTCCGAGCCAAGCCAAGCCACAAACTAAAGCTAATTGACAGACCGAGAATCCACGCCTCGAATCGATCAACTGCATGTGACACGATGGCTGACCCAAGCCCATCAGTTGACCAGCACACGTACGCGATCATCAGAACTGATACAACAGACAACAGACAAATTTCATTGCCAGTCCCATTCCCAGTCCCATGTTTATTATTACCTCCCCACCTTTTCCACCTTGCCACTTGGCTAATTTAATTAAATGCTACAATTTATAGACATTGCAGCCAGCCACTCATAAATTCTAAAGGCGTTCAATTGCCCAACGAAAGGTCAGTCAGGCTCTCCGCTGCTGTTGTTTGATTTGTGTTTCATTTTCTGATTGCTCAGTCGCGCTTGATTGCTTTCTACTGGTGTCTGGGCTGGGTAAACAGAAATAAAACAAAAAAACATTCAAATATATTACATCAACATCTTTATGCCTGTTCAATTTACATTCTAAGCATATCAAAACCTATCAAACGGCATTTTCATTGCATTTTATTCACCTCACTTTTGCCAACTGAGTACCAACCTGAGTACCCCACAGTTAGTTCATATTTAATCCAAGTGACTCAACGTGTCTTGGCCTAGCTTCGGCTTTATAATTGGCATACTGACATAATAATTCATACCTCTAGCTGGCTGGCTGACTGGCTGACTGGCTGACTCGCTGGTGGAACGTGCGTCAAGAGGCTTACGGGTCTCTGGGGCTGTTTACTTAAAATGATTCCCTCGCTCCAGTCGAAACAATTAAAGAATGTCTGGAACTTTAACTGATAAACGCAAAACGAAAACAGTTTATAGCCGCAGACTCGAATACCCGTACGTATAGATATATCCCCGAGTGTGTTTCAACTCTGCCGCAAGGCTTAGTTTTGCGAATGTTTATTTTTATGATGCAAAGCCCAGGGTGGGCGAGGCGGCGGGAGTGTTAATTGTGTACCACAGAAATCCAACTGTTCGTAAAGATCCCCATCCCGATCCCCAACTCCCACGTCTTCTCAGCTGAAAATGTGTGTTATCTTTCCACTGTTTGCTATTCAAATATGTGTACGTTCAACACTTGGTTCAGCGATTGGTTTCGTTTCGTTTCGTTTCTCACCCCAGCCCACCCAACCCCATTCCACCTCACACCAGTAGATGTAGGATTGGCCTTGAAATCGCTGAATTGTGTACGGCAGGCACCATGAAGCGAAGTGAAGTGCAATGTGAGTTATTTTCGTTAGCAATTTGCATAAGGTGAACGAGAGTGGGACTCCATCGAGAATAAGCTTTTTTTCTGTGCACAGTAACTTGAAATTATCAGTATGGAAATCGAGGCAGAATAAAGCTAAAGCTTTTTTTATTAGTCAACATTTTCGCTCTTTAAAAATGGAATTTCTGATTAAGCCTCTACAGAGTCTTTAAAATTTCTCACAATCTTGGAATGAGATGGCAACATTCCTATGGTAGCAGGCGGCCCACCAAATTTCTCCACAAATTCTTCGAATTCAGGGTGTGAATTGATTGTTTGTGCCAAACGCTCAGATAAAAAACATTCAAACCATAAAAGCCCAACACGAAATGAACCAAAAGTTTGGTTTAGAAATTTTGATTTTTTTTCTGCTCTTCCATTCCATTCCCCGGTTGCCCTCTCCAGTTTTCTGTGTTGCGTGAGTTTGGTGCGTCTATCAGCCGGAGATCAAATTAGTTTCTTGGGCCTCCCCCTTCCCGACTGAAGGTGTGGGTCTCGCTGCTTGTGGTTGCCGACAAACTCGGTCATCTCTGTCTGTCTGTCTGTCTGTCTGTCTGTCTCTGTGTGAACAGTGCGCACAACAATTGCAATCTGCTCAGATCTCGTCCGGGAGGTGGGAATACCGCTTACCCAAGAGTTGGCTGGAAACGTGACAGATAAATATTACCAAAGTGCTGGTGGAGCACTCAAAGTGCTGCCAGTTGAGCTTATCTTATCAATAGCTGTGCTGCAGCTCTGCCATTGCCAAAAAAGAATACTGATAAGAGGGCAGCAAACATAATCCGTGGGCGATAAGTTAAGAATATGGGTACGCCGCGGCGGCGGCTGTAGCAGTGGCGGCTGTGGCTGTGGCAGCCAGCAATGAGTACTATTGCCCAATCATGTGATTAACGGCCCTCGCAGGCGTAAAAAGAAAGTGAAACCTCTTTGCATAAAGAAAAGCTTTAGCCACAGAGCCGAGTTCAAGGTACGACTACGACTGCTGTCGGGGAGAGTGTTTTGTTGTTGTTGTTGTTGTTGTTTTTGTTGCCTGGGCGCATAATTAGTTGTAAATATTTTTTTTATTCGTTTTGGCATTTTGCAATTTATGGGATTTATAGTTATAGTTATGTAGTTATGTGTATGTGCATGCATGTGTGCATAATGCCGCCACCACCACAGTCCCAGTCCCAGTCTCAGCTCCAGCCGTGAGCCGTGAGCTGTGAAAGTTACCGGTCCGGAAGGGGGTAGGGGAGTTTAGCCTAGTGGAATTTTTGCCTGCCCTGTGGTTTGGATGGTTCGATCGGGCTGTACGAGTACTCGTATATAGAACGTGTTTTGGGTAGACGCGACAATTCGCTATAGACGCGCAGTTTAACGGCAAACAACAAATGTCAGAGTCACGAACAGGAGAACAGTAACCGTAAGCGGCTTTTACTGGGCGGCCAACGCGGCGTATGAGCAATCGTAAGGCGCTCAGTGCGATATTTACACGTTTGCAAACGTTTTTCCAAAAATTATTCTTCCTCTATCTCTCTCTCTCTGTCTCTCTCTTGCTCTTTTTGACACACACACACACACACACACATATGTAGATATATTTAGACGCACCTATAATTGGAAGGCTATCTGTATTTGTCGTCCGCGCTGCGTTACCGTAAAACGCCAAAACGTAACTGAAAACTAAAACTGAACCTGAACCTGAACCAACTTCCAACCGCCTGAAGTCAGCGTTGCCAACGTCGTGGTCGTGGTCGTCGTCGCCATCGCCATCGTCGTCGTCGTCGGTTATCGCTCTGCTCGTGCGCATAGCTGGCAAAATAAATACGAAAATACCTGAACAGCAAATGGGAAAAGTTGTTGTTGGCTCTTGGCGCTTAATAACTAAACAGAAAATGCCCTACAGGCGCCCCTGCGTGAAAGGTGCGCTCCACTCGTATAACTTCCCCCAACAAACCCAAAGAAACCGCCAAGAAAAATGTGAATAAAAGTCTTTTATGTGTATAGTACATTTGTGTCACTTAATTATTCACAAACAAATTATGCATAATTTGGCTTTCGAGCGTTTTGGGCAAACACACACACACAAAAGTGTCCAAATTAATGGCCACTTCCGGAGTGGCACCCTGAAGTTGTCTCAAATCCAAAGAACTGACATTTTAATGGCCTGCACAAATATTTACTGTATTTACTAACTGAACTTGGGCCAAATGTTGTGGCGTGTAAACAGGTGAATAGTGCCGAGGTTTACACGTGACCCAATCATCTGATCGGCAGCTGATGCATACATATGTATATGCATTCTGACTGCCATTATCTATAGATCCGATGCACTGTTTGTTTGCACTGCAAATCAGTTGAGTAAACTGGAACAACTTGTTGAGTCACAAGACACTGTTTATTTGCCTTGCTCAATGCTCAGATGTGCAAACAGGTGTCCAAGAATAATCATATATACATATATAGTAGTTATTCAATAAGTATTACAGTCTGTATTGCTTTATAAATACTGCAAGCAATTATTGTGTATTTGTGTAGATCAATCACTGAGACGTGGCTGACGAAACTAGAACTTTGAGTGCTACTTTGGGTGATACTTCGCCCAAAATATTTGGGGCATCTTTCGTTTCCATTTGATTTTAGTGCCCGCATAAACTATGGCAATTCCAACACCGATTGGCACAGGCAAGGCTTCCGCCATATCTATTTGATAACATTTGCCAGCCAGGCACCGCCGACACCTACCATACATATGTACATACATCAATTTATGAGTTTTGTGTTCGATTGTATTCTGTTTGATTATTTTGCCGATACGCGTGTGGAGAGCAAAGAGCATTTGATATTTACACGATTCGTTTGGCCCTAATGCGAGGGCTTCCGTACCAAAAGCTGCCTGCCTGCCTGCTGCCCGATTCTCGGCTGGCTGGCTGGCCGTGATAAGCGCGGGCGGGTCGGGTGTGGAAGGTAGGCGGAAAAGCCGTTTGACTGGCACTGCGCTGAGGAGTGGCCTATAAACGGAACGTATATCGAATCTGCGCCGCACTTGAATTTAAAGCCAGGCAAAGAAAACTGGTAAGCCTTTCGACTCGTTTTGAGGCTCTTGCCTGGGACCGGGGGAAGCCAGTTTGGCAGTACGGCCAATCAATGTGCTAATAACTGGCTGCGGAACATAACAGCGCTTCTACATGTACATGTACATAGCTCCAGTTCAATATTTGCACATCATTACAATTACGCCAAAAGAGAGCTGCTGCTCTGCTGCTCTGCTCTCTGCTCTGTCTTTCAGAGTGTGCATTTGTTTTAATGATCTATTTGCGCGGTTGAATAACACACTAATTGACACACAAACACGGAGCGACGCGGCGCGGCGCGACAAGCAAACGTGCACTAAAGCCCGGAGTCGATGTCGAAGTCGAAGTCGAACATCCACATCCATATATCCACACTTAGGGGGAATGGAATCGGTCGTTAGCAACCTTGACAAAGAAAATTTTTCAATTAACGACGACTGCTGCCAATTTGCGTACAGAGTGCGAAAGAGACGAGCGAAAAAATTAAATAAAATAACACAACACGCAAAATGCTCAAAAATGGTTCGTTTTCATAAGGCGAACAATTATGTTTTATGTCTTTAGCAATTTGTGTCAGTTATGTATCGGATTGGATTGGATGGGATTGGATCGGAGAGAACACAAATTCTGCGGCTTGCGTGATTGAACTTATCGCAATGATGGCAAAGCAATGAGAGAAATATAACATTGATTGGCTTAATTATGCATAATAAATGCCACCCGAAGACTCTTAATTTTTGTTTTCATTCAGCTTTCATTTCTTATATGGTAAATTGCGCGGCGCTGCCAATTAAAATAGAAATTGTTGACCAGCCAAAAAGTTTGTCGTTTGCCGGACTGCCGACTGTCGAATGCATTTGCATAAAAAATTAAAACTTGAACACAAGCGAAACATACAAATTGTTATTGTTGCTGATGCTATTGTTGGTCGGTTGTTGTTGTTTGTTAATGCACGCGGTGTAAAACTTTCGAATCTGTTAGCGTAGCTCGTCTGGGAGGGGATCGGCATCGGCTCTTTGGCGCTTGGAAATGTTTTGAAGCGCAAAAACGCTCTACACAGGCGCGTAACGTGTTTTCAACTGAGCGCAAAATCAGCTTCGATCGGTACAGCACGCTGGCTTCTGCGGCTGTGACGGTGGCGGTGGCGGTGGCAGACGCAGACGCAGCCGCAGCCGCCACAACAACCACAATACAAGCTTTGATGAATGAAGGCGTAATTTTTTCCGCTGTCTTTGTGCATATTTTTGCTGGGACAATGTGAACTTTTTGTGCGCGGCCCCACAATGGCCGTCCTTTGAATTCGTACAAAAGACAAGCAAAACAAAAGCTAGTTACACTCAAATGTAACGTACATTGAATTTGATTGAATTTCATGTTTTTTTCGAATTCAATTCCATATCGCACAAAAGTACCGATACCGACTATCAACAAAATATATATATCGATATAATGAGTTGTCACATCTCTATTACTTTTGGCCGTATAATTTTGCGAGTGTTTCGGCCGTAGAAAAACAAAAACGACATAAAACCATGGCCGGACGTGAAGCCGTTAAACGGGCCGTGCAGCAGGTGCGTCCCATTCTGTCCGTCGACAGGGAGGAGGCACGCAAGCGTGCCCTCAACCTTTACAAAGCCTGGTACCGCCAGATTCCCTATATCGGTGAGTACTCTTCGTTATGTCATCTTTCTATGGTTGTTTGTCCCGACGCTATATAGTAAACAATGCACTCTGCACTTGCAGTTATGGACTACGATATTCCCATGACCGTGGAGCAGTGCCGTTCCAAGTTGCGGGAGCAATTTGTCAAGGACCGCCATGTAACCGACATTCGCGTGATTGACATGCTCGTGATCAAGGTGCGTATACGGCAAGGACAAGATTTCGTTTAGTATATAATCGACACCACTTACAGGGTCAAATGGAGCTGAAGGAGACGGTGGAGATCTGGAAGCAAAAGGGCCACATTATGCGCTACTGGAAGGAGTCGCAGGACCCCAAACCCACAGATTTCCTCTCAAAATTCATTCAGGGCGTTCATTAGATTTTCAAATTGAAATAGTTTAAATATATTCCAAGTGCGGAGTGAACAAGAAACAAGACAACTGGGGGAGGGGGAGCTTCAGAAGCACTTTTCTTATGGTTTATTGAGATTGGTAACTTCAAAAATATCATGGTTAGGTTCCTATGTACCCTGCGGGGAAATACACGTGAATGTATGTAAATACCAGCAGCAGGGTCGGTCTGAGTTCTCTGAGCAAAATAGTTAATGGAAATTTTTGTCGGTCGGTCGGTCGATTGTTGGTGTGGTGTAAATTGGATACAGTCTTCTAGCTCTCGTTAGCTATTCTTTTTGTTTGATGCTTCAGGTTCATCGCTTAACTTCTATGCAGGTAAATGGATCGGTCCTCCGTTCAGGGAACCAAGTCGAGCAGTTCGTCCAAAGTGGTGGAATTCGAGAAGAGATCTGTTGTAATGTCGTCGTAGTCAACCCCCAGGCTCTTCAGCTCACTGAAGCATTCTTCGCTGAATCCTGGAATTTCAAGTGAGGTATTGTTCTTGCTAAAGGCATCGTGCCGATTTGTATAGCCAATCCGCTCGCGAAACATCTCGGCCAGCTCCTCATCGCTTAGCTCGATGCAGTGCACCTTTTTGGAATGTAGTCGGATTCTGGAAGAGAATCAATATTTAATAACTTTTATAGACAGCTTCGAGCTGCCGCCATACGTACTTTTTGCGATCGGCAAACTCCTCGGGGCAGTGTCCACATTTGTAGGGATAGGCGGTGTGCTCGAACTGATGCTGGCGCATGCGAGCCCGCGATGTGGTCTCAAAGTTGCACTTCTCGCAGCGCCAAACCTGCTTCTGGTGGCTCCTGTTCTCGTGCTCGCGCATCAAAGCAAAGTTTTGAAACTGACTGCCACAAATGAGGCAGCTGACCTGTTCGTCGTTAACATGGGCGCGCTCGTAGTGCACACGGAGCTCGGCCGCGTTTATGTAGTTCAGTGCGCACTTGTCGCACTGGTAATGCCGTTCTGAGTGCCGCTTGCGGTGCACGGCCAGAAAGTCGGCACTCTTGAAAATCTTGTGACAAATTTCGCATGCATGCAGCGTGTCCACTGAATGTAGCTGCTGCAAATGGATCTCGTACTTGCGCAGGCTGCTGAATTTCTGCTCGCAGAAGGTGCACTGGACGGGGTCCTTCACCTGGCAGAATCGTTGGTGCGCCTGCAGGCTGGCCTTTTGGTTGAAAACTTTACCGCAGGCCCCACATGTGTGCGATTCGGGTAGGTCGCGAGCCGCCTGAGTGTGCATCCTTGTGTAATGAGTTCGGGCTGATCTCTGATCTTTGAAGACCCGGGGACAGGCTGGACAGTTCTGCTGCACATAGCAGTACATTTCTGCAATTCGTAATGCAGAATGGGATATGGAATATCAATGGGAATGTGTGTCCGCCCCTTGCTTACCAAAATCCCCATCGATCTTATGATGATGAATCAGATGTTTTTGCATTTCCTGCCGGTTCTTCGTGTCGTAACTATTGCAGGGACGACACTTGAAGCTTTGATCTAAAACGAAATCAATGCTTATAGGTTTGCTCACATGTTCTCTTTTAGGGCTGCTACCCACTCTTGGTCAATCCAATGATATCATCTTCGGCCATATCGATCTTGTGAATGCTGATATAATGACTCCTGATCTGTTTCGCATCAGTGTGCGCATACTTGCACATATTGCAGCTCAGAATGGGTATGTCGGGGCTGTCTTTCCTGCTCGTCGAAGACCCCTGAAGGGAGCCCACACTCTCACTCTCTACAAATCAAGTGTAAGTCCTTGGTTTATACATTCCAAAGTTCAATTGCCTGGGCCTTACCATTTAGCAGTAGGTCTTTAATGGACTCAATGGCCTGCTCTTCTTCCTGCGCCGCGCTATTCTTGTTGCTCTCATCGGCATCAGCACCTGCATCTGCATCGTTCAGTGTCATGTACAGAGCACGTTGTATAAGATCGCACTCGACATCGGGGAAGCTGGACAGGTCGCCGTTTTTGTTGTTGTTGAAATTAAATTTGTAATTGTTATTATTCTCGCCACTTTGGCTGCTCGCGGATTTGATTGCCTGAGGATTGCCTGCCAATGGGGAGCCCATACTATTCGTAATACTATTCTCAAAGAAGGTCTCATTGTTCTTGGCGTCCGAGCCGTCATTCTCGTCCTCCTCCTCCAGATCGTTGTTGTCATATTTGACATCAAACAGAATCACTGATAAATACATTAAATACAATAAATTCCAGTTTATACGATGGAATAGGGAGAAGGATCCATACCATCATCCTCTTTTGGGGGCTTCTTGGCCGCAACATCCGTATCCAGACGCGGAATCTTGGCACCTCTCATATACAGTACATTCTCCTCAATTGGTCCTGGCACACCATCGTAGCTCTCCACAAATTTGTCAAACTCTTGACTGAACTGATTCCACCGAAGCGTCTCGGAGCTAGCCTTCCGCTTGAGCTCTCCTGGGGGACTGGGCAGTTTCACCGTTTTAGCTTCGGCATACAGCTTCTGATTGGACGCGAGAGCCATTTCCACAAAGTGCATCGCCACCTCAAGGGCGCGGCAACACCGCACACAGATCTGCATGGGCCACTGGTAGCCGCCGGGGCTAACTGCCCTCATTTCAAGGTTGGTGCACTGACTTAGACTCTGGCCATAGGTGCGCGACTTTTGCAGATTTGGCATTTCGGCGTCTAACTTCACCGTTTTTCGATTCACAGATAGACACGCTCGACATTTTGCCAAGTTGCGTTTGTTAATGGGCGACAGCGCGGAATCCGCAACAGCGGTTGCGGCTTCCATTGTCGCACCTGTTGCCTGTTGATTCTCTAGCCTGATGTTTGTTGTTATTAATGTTTGTTAAAAGCTTTTTATTTGTTTTATGGAAGGAAATAAAATTTAGCTGCTGTCAATGTGTTTTGTACCGCCTTTTGTGGTTCTTTCCGCAAACATCGCCCACCTCTATTGGCCAGATATCGATATAACCATCACATCGATGACAAAACTGAAAAAAATATATATTTTTGTACTTAATTAATAAAGATTTTAATAAAATGCACTTAAATGGACACTGCAAACATCTGCGACTTGTCTTGGTTCGGTTTATGCGCTTGAGCTAAGCTAATGATAAGAAAATGCCTCCTCGCCGAAGCAGGACTCCCCGTAGATTGCTTTCTTTGAGCGAAAAAAGTGAAGTTATCCAGGTGCAGGAGAAGGAGAAACTGTCCGTTCGAGATCTGGCCAGGAGGTATGCTATGGTTCGCAGACTCGTAATTGTATAAACAATATGTTTACCTTTTTGCAGATTTAATATAGGAAAAACCCAAGCAGCTGAAATTTTGAAAAACAAAGGTCAAATCGATGCTAAACTAAAATCAGGAGTCAATGGCCATCTAAAGAAGAACTGTCTGAGTCAGCAGGGCTCCCACATCGATGAGTTGTGCTTCAGCTGGTTCAACACGGCCAGGAGCGAAAACATTCGATTGTCTGGCCAGGGGGTAAGGACAAAGGCACGAGAAATAGCCCAGCATTTGGGATACGCTGGCTTCTCCGCCTCGGACGGTTGGCTGCAGAAGTGGCGCAAGCGACACAACATAATTTTCAACTCCACCCGCGAAACACTGGACGTCCAGCAGTTTGAGTGCATCCTGGTCAAAAGCGAGCCGCTAATGAGTAATGATGAGGATAGTTTGATGTGCAGTGCTCATGCTGGAGAGGAGCCAACTGTCTTCATGCACAATCCGATAACATCCTTTGACGAGGCAATGATGCAGCTTGCTCGCTTGAAGGAGTTTGCCAAAGACGATTATATATCACATCAACAGCTAAGCAGCCTGGAGAACCAGTGGACTTGGAAGAGGAACAACCTGAAAATGGAGCACCTCCCTTAACCAAAACAAACTGATTTCTGTTACCATTAGTATTCATGCATCTCTGCGATTGCCTAAGTTATCGTACTAATTTATTTCATTTAATTTACGTTACTTTTGTTTAAACCGAACTGACTCGAAAGTGATTATGTTACATTTGTAAATACACGTAAACTTCTTTCAAACAATCTGTCTTTATCCACACATTGGTTTCGTATCAGAAATGCGATGTGAAAACAAAATAAAATGGAAAGGCACTTCGACTCTGCCGAAAAGGTGAGGGACAGGGCCCTACCGATGGTGTTCCAGTTTTGGGTAGGTACATGTAAGTTTTCTTATTTATTTGAATGGAAATGCACTTACATCGTGGTGTACGGGTACGGAACGATTATGCTAACAGGTTGTTTATTGCTTTCAAATATCCAATGTACATTATCAATTTGTCGAAGCGGCCTTCGCTACGCCATTCTTGGCTTGCTAATAATAATATAAAAATACATGTGTTTTGCTTACACACTATTGTTTGAGCTCTTTGGCCAATGCAGAGCGTCGCCGCGTTGGTCGTGATTGGGGGTTGAGACCATCCCATTGGGTAGCAACGGAATTGCATTCCCAGTTAAGTGTGGAACGACCACTCCCAGATCCGCTTAAAGGAAATCCATGGCATGGCTAGATTATTATTATACATACATATATTCCAACCAAATCACCACAATTGTTGCATGTACAAATTGGTGCATACATGTGTCGGTGATGGGTCGATAATTGTGATAATGATATTATGCTTATGAGTCTATGCCTTAGGGGGGAAAACTGCAAGACATTAAATGTGTTTGTGTGTGGGTGTGTGTTAAAAACTGCATATGGAAACAGCAGTACTTATAGACTACATCATCAAATTTGTACAGGGTTTGTGTGTGTGTGTTTGTGTTTACTTCTCAGGACTACTAATGAGCATGATTCAGAACTATTTTGATATATTCGCCACTGCTACGGATGGTTCGTCGCCCATCTGCATCTCCTTTTCTCGTTCGGCCTCCAGCTCCTTGCGCCGCACCAATTGCCCATTGCGTGTGACGACCTTCATGTCGTGTGGATTGGTATAGCCCACATTGTGGCGAAAGATTTCCGCCAGCTCTGATTCCGTTAGCTGCACATGATGAACGGACAGTGCATGGACGCGAAGTCTAATTAACAGAGAGGAAATATTTCAGATGATAGACGATGATACGTAGATGTCTATTAATTCTAGGGTACTTACGCTCCGCGACGTAAATAAGTGCGGTCGCATTTGGGGCACTTGTAGGCTGTCAAGCCTCTGTGTACGGTCATGTGGTGCCGCAAATGCAGGCTGGTCTTCACCTCTTTCTGGCATATCGAGCACACATGGCGCAACTTCAGATGGGAGGCGTTCTGATGCCGCACCAAATGATGCTTGAAGGCGAACATCTTGCGACAGCCATCCAGAGAACATCGGAACGACTTCTCGGTGGCATGTTTCGCCAGCATGTGTCTGTCCAGTTCAGTTTTGTGTACAAAGTCCTTTCCGCACAGCTTGCACGAAAACTTGCGGTTCAAATGCCGCTTCATGTGGAACTTGAGTAGCGCCATTGTGCGATACGTTGTCCCACAGGTGCCACATCTGTGCTCATAGCCCAAGCGTGCCGATTCACCAATGGAATGCGTTTCTATCTCATGCTTTACCAGCTTGCCCAGCTCATCAAAGCTCTTCTTGCAGAGCTTGCACACGTAGATGGGGTTACGTGGCATGCGCGAACGTAGCCCCTTAATGGGCGATGGCTCCATTGCCGCAGTCAACAGTTTGTCGCTGCCGTTGAGTAGGGGGCTGGGTGCAAATGCATTGGTGCTTGGGCTGGTGGTGCTTGTGCTCGTGCTCGGATTGCTAGTGTATGCTGGGAGTGCGGTACTGACGATTTGTTTGTTGCTCGTACTGGGCGTGGTGGGCGTAAGCGTTGGCGTAAGCCTGGAGTTTCCTGCATCCCCCATTAAGTCAAAGTCAAAATCAAATGGCGTTGGTGTGGATGATGACGACGATGCTGTTGTGGCGGTATGTTGCGCGGATGCTGTCTCGCCCTTGACTAGAACATGATCTATGCTGTTCATGGTTCGTGGCTCTGACGATTCGTCGGGGGGATTTGGGGTTCTTTCTGAAGCTGATTCTGCTTTTATGGTCGATCTTATCGATGTCGATGATGATGATGCTGATGCTGATGTGGATGCGGATGTGGCTGAAGTAGTTGTTGGCTCTTCTTTTAATCCGGCGCCTTCTGGTTTGACTGCTACCTCTGGTGAGTACAACAACAATCAAAGATCATGTTCGCCATCGAACAACAGCATATTTAGTTTATCAATCGGATTGTGCATCGACATGTGTTGGGCATAGTTTGAATTGGAATTTGAGTTCATTCGTGCATGGCTATTATCGCTCTTACCGCATTCCCCATCGCCATAGCCAACAGTCTCCGTCCCCGACGGTGCCGTCGAAGCCATCTCGAGCTGCTGCTGCCCTTTATTCCCATTATCGTCAGCCGTATTCGCCGGCATTGAGGTGGTTGCTGTGCATGTGGTGCTTGTGGTTGTCGCTGCCGAGCTGCTTGTTGTTTGGTTGGATTGCATCTCAATTATCGTGTCCACCAAATGGCTGCGCTGCAGATGTCGGGTCAGTGTGCTCTTAGCCGCAAAGGAGCGAATGCATCGCGGGCACTCAAAGGGTAGTTCTGTGAATAGACAAGCAATATTTATTCTATCTATTCTAGCTACGGCTGAAATGACGAGTGCTGAATGCAGAATGAAATGGCACTGAGATAATCAAATGTGTAGATCTCCCTTTTGATACGAATATAAGTAAATAAAGGATTTCGCAACGCTACTTACTGCGTATAATGAAGACCTCGTTGGCATGCACGGATACTGTAACGAATTGAGTGCAAAATGATAGTTATAACAACGGCTTAAAGGAGGGGTAGAAGACCAGGAGAAAAGCTCTCTTTTTGGCTCCACTTACCTCCATCGTTGATGCCGTGATGCGCATTCAGATGCTTTCGCATTTCCGTGTCCAATTCACACTCAAACGGACACTTGGCACACATCAGCATGGGCTCTGAAAATGCATTGAGCAATTGTAGATTTAATCAACAAGCAGCATTTAGCTCGGCTTACTCCTATCCATTTCCAGTTGTATTGTCTCGATATTGGTGCGGGCCACCAATACCTTGTCGCCCTTCGCCTGGACCATGTCCCGGGTGGGCATGCGCTTGTGCACGGTCTTGTAGTGCCTGATGAGGAGACGCTTCATGTTGTAGAGATTGGTGCAGAGCTCACAGCGGTAGGGGGCCAGGCCTACAATAAAAAACAAGACAAGATATTGTAGGGATATATAGAGCGAAGGCTGTTGCTGCTCCCGGGACTCACCTCGATGCACAAACATGTGATTCTCGAACTTGTATTGGCTTGTAAACTTTTTGTTGCAAAATATGCAGTAGGGTTTTTGCAGATGCTTGGATTGCTCGTCGTCAAAGTCATCCACATCGTCGTCGTCGCTTGTTAGCAGCAGATTCTGATCGGTGGCTGCATCATTGTTGTCATTTTCATCCTCATTCTCAGCGTCTTCATCTTCTTCGTCGTCTTCGTCCTCCTCCTCATCCTCGCCAACGGCCTCGTCCTCATCATCAAACTCCTCAAACAGATTCTCAGCATCAAAGTCTAAGCTGATATTGTTGTTGTCAATCACAATATCGTCACCATCCACCACGGGCATATCATCGGCGGGTATGGTGCATATGGCGGCCACATCTGTGTTGTCAATAAAATCCTGCATATCCCCAAACATGGAGATGTTCGCCGACGTTGTCGGCGTTGGCAATGCCTGTACGGGCTGTGTCGCTGTCAGACTGCTCGTTGAGATTTCTGGAAAGATTTCATATGTGTCCCCGTTGGCCATTGCCTCAGCGGCTATTGTACCCGGATTTCCCTGTCCCTGTCCTTGTCCCTCTACCACTGTCCCAGTGCCAGTCCCTGCTACTGTCGCCGCATAGAACAACGGTGTGGCATCTACCACCACATTGATTTCGCCCGACTGCGTTATCGTGGATGTTTGGGTTGCTATCGCTGACAGTTGCTCCGGCTGCTGCTGCTGCTGTTGCTGCTGATCCTGTTGCTGTTGTTGCTGATGCTGAAGCATTGGCTGATTGTCAACCGTCGCCGCCGCCGCCAGCGCTGCAGGCGGATCTGTAAAATATGCAATTAAATAAGGTCCACAAAAGAATAATCAAAAAATAACCAGGGAATTCAACTGAAATACTGATACCATAACTTGTTAGATTTTGTATAAAAAAAAACACACACAATATAAAGGAGCTTTTGTTAGAGGTTGCACGACAAAAAAAAAAAGATTAATCAATCGATCAATGCTCAAAGGAACGACAAAAACCAAAGGCAAAATGAAAGAGTTCTATGTATCTTTTCTCGTCCTTACCGAAAGTCATACCACGATCCCTCTCGACTTGCATCAGTTATTTATTTGGCTCTTATCAGTTATCAATGAGTGAATAAAATAGCTTGTTAAGAGTTTGTTTTTTTGTTTCTCAAGTGAATCTGTGAATCAACCCCTGCCCTACCCGTATACGAATGCTAAAACACTTAACGCCATTATGATTTGAGATCCGATTTACTAAGTAGATGATGCGTGGTATATGGCATACATATATAGATATAAATATGTGCGATACATGTACAAATTTCATTCTATTTCATTTTCTATTATTTACATTCACTTTTCCTTCTTCTCTTTTGCTGTCGGTGGTATCTGTGGTGCCCCATAAAATAACCGCCAAATGAATTAACCAAACACATAAACCACAAATCAAAAACGGTCTACAGCTTCGGTAAACGAAAACTTTCACACCCTTGTACAAAAAATCGTGATAAATTATTCTATAAATAAAAAATAAACCCTTATATACGAGACCAGAGACATGAAAATATCTTGGCTGTTATTGCCGATCTAGAGGGTGTTGGAGATATCTCCCTTCACGGCAGTCCTCAGCAAGGGTATAAAATGAAACATAAATCGAAAGGAAAGTAAAGGAAAGGGGGGAATCTACTCAAAGGACACACAACACCTGCACAATTTGCACAGTAGTCATTTGGAAGCGTGTCTTTCCTGACAAGCGATAAACTCAATCATAACTGGTCAAAAAATTGAAAAATATTTACTTTCATTTGCGATTCATTTCATAACGCACCGCAATACCCCAAAAGTCGAATGATAACCGATAGAAGTCGAAGTAAAATTCCCTGGTTATGGTCGTAACCATCTCAAGACTCACATTGAATGCCCAGTGGAATTTCGGTGTGCTGCGGCTGAGCGCCCTGCTCCTTGGAGCCTTGGCCACTGGTGCGAGCCGAACTGATGCCGTCACCGACGGTGTCTGACTCACTTGTCCAACTGGGACGCAGCTGTACCTCCGACGGTTGAATCATATGCTTCTCAGTGTAGTGCACCCGCAGCTGGCTGGAGGTCCTCCCTTCGAAGAGGCACATGTCGCAGGAATAAGTTTGCGATTCATCGCCGGCCTCCTTTCCATTCCTCTCGTTCCTGAGATGCGTTGCCTTGTAGTGCAGAGAGAGATCGGTACTGCGCAGCGAGTAGAAGGGGCACTGATCGCAGTAGAACTTGGGCAAATCTGCATAGAGACAAAGGCAAAGTGGATAAGTCGGATCCGATCGAAAGGCGGAGAATATCGAGCGGGTGGGGCATGGGGCGGTATGGGTACTAACGGCTGTGGCTCAACTGGTGAGATTTCAGACGCCCCAGGGTGGCAAATGCTTTGGTACAGTCTTTGCACTTGTACTTGAGGGGAGCGGATCCAATGGGTATTGGTTTTGGCTTGACTGTAAGAGCGAAACAAACAGAAACGGAAACGGTACGGTCAAGGGGATCATTCTCCTGGGAGATTGGATGGGTTTCATTTACCTTTTATCTTCGGCAGCATTTCCTCCACAATTAGTTCACTGACATCGATGTCCATGGGCTCGTTTTCGGCACCACCTCCAAGAAGATTTTGAAGGCTCAAATTTCCAGTGGTGTTGCTGTTGGGCCTGCTATCATCGATGTATTCTATCACCACACCTGCTAGAGAAGAGAAAAGGGAGGATGACTACACAGTCCACTGAGTCCACTGGCCTCTGCCAGTGATTTAACGCACCGCCTCCGTTTATCTGCAAGGTCCCATCGGGCATGACGACATATTCGCTGCCAATGCTCATATTTTTGCACTGCATTTGAGTCAGATTGGTGGTCAAAGCGCCAGCACCAGCAGCCACAGGCTCGCCCATGCTGGCGGCCAGCTGCTGTTCAATGTCGCGCAGTTGATCTTCGTCGATGGACGGTTGGACATAGTCACCAGGCGTGAGAACTGTGGGAATCAGCAGCTCCATGTCCTCCAGGGTGCACACTTTAACCTCCTTCTCGACAGCAGCAGCCGCGGATGAAGTGGAGGGGGTGGCACTGTAGAATGTAGATTTTGGTTTCACTTGATCGTCCGCCTGGTTGGCCGACATGCCATGGGTCGCACTATAGTGCTCCTGCAAGAGACGCTGCTTTAGCGTAACGAAGCTGCAGACTTTGCAGCTGTAGGAGCTGCCATCTAAAATGATATTTGCGATTTAAGTATTCATTTGGCACTGAAGGCTTTCTTTCGAAGATTACTCCCGTACCAACGTGCTGCCGTATGTGCTGCTTTAGCTCCATCCGATTGTAGACGACAAAGCCGCAGAGTTTGCACTCGTGCCGGAATGCCTTTTGGGGCTTCGTCTTGTCCTCCCCCGTCTGCCGCAGCGCCGCCTAAAAGCAGCGAATTAATGAGTTTAATAAAAAAAAACCGCGTCACCACAACCAGAAACAACCCCCCACCCACCTCTGGCTGTTTGATGGACCCGTTGTAGCGCTGCGCCAGCGTGGGACGGGCCTTTCCCGGACACAGTTTGCGGCAGAGTATTTCGTGTGCGCGCAGTGCATTCTGCAGGAAGTAGTAGGCTATTTGCAAGCTCTTGCTACACTCAACGCATATGTATTGTGGCAGCTCCGGCGAGTTTTCGGCGCGTATGCAGAATAGCAGACAACGCAGCAGGGGAATTTTATCCGCTTCACTTGGATCTAGATTGCGCGCCACCGCCAGCGTGTCCAGTTTGAGGAACTCCGCATCGGATTTCAGACAGCAGCGACATGTAAATTTGTAGTTTATTTGGGATAATCCTGAGCCTGAGCCCGTTTTCAACCTATTGTTAGATGCCATATTTCACAAGCGGTTGCGCGCGGACATTTAATTACGCGTATGTTGATTAAGTGTGTTGGCACATTGACTGCGACTTGGCAAGAAACAAGTATTTTTAGTTTTCCGTAGGATATTTTATTGTTTTTCTTCGATTTTGCATCAAAGCCTCATTTTAGACGCTAGAGGTGTCAAACCATCGAGGGCACTATCGATAGTATCGATGTTTTGTACAGGGTTGCAATATCCATGGCAAATCGACATCGATGGCTGTTATCGGGCTTGTGCTGCAATTTCTTACATTTTCACATTTGAAAATTTGCAAATTCGCATCCATACTAAATGATACATATAAAAAGTTAATTACAATACATGTGAGTACAAAATGATCTTAATTTTCATGCACAGTGTTTCCCCATTTAAAACCAGATTGTATTTAATGTTCAATGAACTCAATTTATTCAATTTCTGAGGCGATCTCTGGGTCGTCTGCCGTCTCCAGTTCCCTATGTAGCACATTTACATGAACTCGTTCATGCAATCTTAACACCTCAACGGTTTGAAATCTCCTCCAGCACACGCGGCAAGCGTAGTTGCGAGAATTTTCGCGTTTGTGAACCCTCTTAATGTGATTTTTGAGAATGGAGTTCTCGCGAAAGTGTTTCTGGCAGTGGGGACAGGTGAGGCGGGGCTGTGAGTGCGTTCGCCGATGAACTGCGAGGGCAGAGGTGCTCTTGTACGACTGGCCGCACACTTCACACGTGTAGTTTCGCTGGCCGGAATGCACTGTAATGTGCTGTTGGTAATCCCATTTGGAGGGAGCATTGTAGGAGCACAACTTGCACTGCCACTCCAAAGGCTTGAAGTGGTAGCGGGCCCGATGCTCCAGCAGCTTGGAGGCACATCCGAATCCCTTGTTGCAAACACTACAGACGTTGGGATTCTGGCCGCAGTGTACTCTGTACTTGTGCACCTCCAGTTGGAATTCGTTGAGGAAGCTCCGCCGGCATTCGTCGCAAATAATCACTGTAATGTGGTTGGTGGGCATAAACTGGACGAGTCTGTCATAGTAGGCGGGATAGCGGCAGTGCCAGCCCTTGCTGCGCACCTTACTGGCATACTGGCGCTCGCACCAGGCCCTGAGAGATCGAGAGCTCGTGCAGACCACCTGCGGCAAGAGCGTGAAAGAGAAACGCTGGGCCATCGCATCCGAAACCCGTTGCGCACTCTGCAGGCGCTCCCTCCTGAACAGCCCCTTGTGGGATTGCCAGAGAACTGTGTGCTCTTCCAGAAGATCTATGAAATAGTGCATTATCTCTGGACTCGTCCGTAGCAAGCTGTAGAAGGGCTTCTGGGGCGTGTTTAGGACGTAGTTCTGTACGAATTTCAATATGTTATTTAATTGGAGCGCCAGTTGGTCTAGCTACCTACATCTTGGCCGTTTTTGTTTTCCTCTTCTGCCTCCGATTCGCAGCTGAGATTGTCGTCCGAGTCATCGAGAAACTCGACGTTTGTAAAGACCTCTTCCTGCTCCTCTTCAGATTCTGATATTCTATTCTCCTCGGCATTCGTTCGATTTGCCATTTCTAGTTCTATTTCGTCATATATTTCGCTATCATCGCCGTCGAGCTTGATGGCATCTGTGTGTTGGCGTCTCAAATGATTCATAAACACATCCCAGTCGGCGCCAGTGAAGGCGTCGGCGCTGCAAAGGCAGCATTTTATCACAATTGTGCATGTGCCGTCCTGCTTCAAATATACTCGAGCACCTTCCACATAGTTTTTCGTGTTTGTGTAATGCGGAGAACTCATGATTTTGCCATTTAAACCATTTGAAAAAGTAAACAATTCTTTGCAGCGTGACCGTGACGATAACGATACAAAATACCATCCGACCAAAAAATAAATACCATTAAATACCATTTCAGTGTCGAGAAATACCATTTAAATACCATACATTTAAAACATTTGGTATTTTTCGGTACATTTATTATGAAAAAACAACAACAAAAAATACTCTCCTGGTTCAGGTTCATTTGACTCACTTCGGTTCATCGCAAAAATTTCAACAAAATTTATATATTTGCTTACCCGGTTTAGATTGCGAAATAAAGATATGACACAGCAGCTCTTCCCCCCCGTATGCATTCGCCTATGGATGCAACATTTAATGTCTGGCGCAGCGGTGCCCAAACAGACATTGGAGCGCTCATTGCTTGGACCGTTGAATTCTGGTAAGCAACCAAAATATTTACCTCTGCATTTACGCTGTTTATCAATCGAATCTTTACACAGATGAGGCAAGCCAGGCGGTGGAGGATGCTACAAACATGGGTATTCTGGTGGCCCAAGGAAAAGGCATGCGTAGCGTTTTGTCCTTTTGCCAGAAACTGAAATCCATTCCCACCTCATTGGCGGACAGATATTGCTACGAGTGCAACCTGCCTGGGGCACTGACGGGCTGCAAATCGTGTTCGCGGTCATTTCACGTATTCTGTCAACGCAAACATCCAGAAAAACCAACATACGATGTGCCCTCGGACAAGGGCCAGCCGTATAGATTCCCGCTAAATGAATCGGACACTGACGGAGAGACTGCCAGAAAAAAGAAGCGGAAGCACGAATCACTTCCGATGGAGCTCCAGCTGGACCACAACAGCAACATCAGCATTAGCCATTTAGATCGTAGTACCCCATTGCCCTCTGTCAAGCGCGAGAGTCCGGATTGGTACGACGATGTGTCCTTTGTCAGCGAGCAGCCGGCTGCGCGTACGCGGAAAAAGTCCAAGGTTAAGACTGAGCAGCCACCGATTGTAGAGCCGGATTCGTCAAGCGATCTGGAGAACTGCACTGCCTGTCGTCTGATGACGCTGGCAAGGATCCAACACCCCCCGCATTTGGACAAGGAAGAGCTCAGTTGCGTGCTTCGCTACTCTTGGGCCAAGCATCAGAGTTGGCTGATCACAGATGTGGAAAAGTACATGAACAAACATTTAAACAGTCGCGACAGAGCGCTGGTGAAGCGCATTCTCTTCAAGACGAACACGCTTGGCCAGGCGGCCATTGAGCGGAACATTGAGGCAAAGAAGTACAAGTACTTGACGGAGCTCTTTGTCGATTTGCTCGACCTGCAGCACAACATCGGCGTCTTCTTTGGCCCCACAGAACAGGAGTACAATGCCACACAATGGCTGATGCGCGATGTAACGCACGACATTCGGGAAATCCGGCTTTGTCCGGACTGCTTTCGCAACTCCAACGAAATGGATTGCAGCATGTGGTTCGCCAAGCCCTGCCTTCAGCGGCATGAAGTGGTGTTTGCCAAGCAAGCCGGTTGGCCGCACTGGCCAGCAAAGGTAAGTAGTAGTATCCAGGAATTAATTGACAAAGTAATTCATTTTCATCCATTTTCTGTATAGGTGATTAGCGTGTCATCGAAAAAACCGATCAAATACGATGTGCGCTTTTTTGGCAAAAACCATTTGCGGGCATCCGTCTTGGAGAAGGATATTATTCCGATAGAGGCCGATGTGCCATTCAAGCAGAAAGCGAAGATGTCGAAAGCCCTGGTCGACGCCATGAGGGAATTGGAATGTCACAAGATGTTGTCAAACTACTCGGCCGATCTCTTTGGCTTTCACGCAGATCCCGCCGCCACCAAAGAGGCCATCGATAAGGCGCTGTCCCATTGCCCGGAGCCCACAATCACTGCGGCTCCTGCTAAGCGTGTGCGCCCCTGCACCCCAGCGATTAGTGCCAAGAGGCCGCAAATGAGTGCAGCCACTCCTACTCCGGTTCCCACTCGACTACTGCCACAACGTCGGTTGCACCTTGCAGCTCACATCGCGGGAAGAGATGAAAGAGATGAACCAATGACAGGAAATGATGAGCTTCACAACCTAAGATTAGATTTAATCGATTGCCAGGATAAGTTATTAGAAAAGACTGAGGCACTGGCCGCCCTGAGAAAGGAGATGATCGATAGCAAGCGCAAGCGCTGGTGTCAGCTATGCCTTCAGGCGGCTCGGTTCGATTGCTGCTTTAACGCCTCGTACTGCAGCTCAAAATGCCAGAGTCGGCACAAAAAACTTCACAAGCGTGTGTGCAAGGCAAAACATTAGAATATCTGAAAATGTCAGCCTGTAGCCCCTTCAGAATTGTTTGGCATGGTCGGAGAGGAAGGAACGACTCCTGGTTTTTAAAAACAGAGCACCAGCAACCCTCTTGCTTCCATTTAGAAACTTCAACAGTTCAACAGTATTGGCCTTCATTTTGTTTCTTTCTTTTTATTTATTGTATTGGCTCCTCGAGAGAGTAAGCTAACTGGAAATGTAAATCCAATGGAGCCTTTCTATATACTTACACGCTAGCTTATAGGTATGTACATAGTGAAAAATGAATATATCCCAGTTAAGATCTTAGACCAGACGAGACGGCTTGAAGAACTGCCCTTCTGGTCCAAGAGTCTTGTGAAATAAAACTACTTGTGTGCATTGTTTTGCATTAAAATATATCTAGTCACATTTTCTATGCGCATAAATTGCTGCTCCCAGTCCATATCACTTACCTCGGTGATCCTGAACGTCTGCAAGCGGTTGTTTCCAACGAAACGCCCCACCAGATGAATAGCGCAACCTGAAAAGCATTTTATAGATTTACTACAAATATGTGGCAACGGTTTGTTAAGCTTGCCTGTGGACAGTGTTTTCAGATCGCCCTCAAAATCGTAGTAAATGCCCTGGAGGATGGGTCCATCACTGCGCACCAGCAGGGTGTGCTCACACCTCTTTCCTTCTATAATGCGCACCAGTTTCCCTGTGAAACATGCAATTATTTAATGTTTAATAGCTGTAGGGATTTATATTATATTTATCCCCACCGTACACGTTCCAGATAGCATTTAAATCGGGATACATTTTGTGGCTGTTCAAACAGAAATCCACGCGCCCCACTAGACTTAGCAAATCACGACCCGGCTTGGTCATTGGCGAGGCTTTCGGCTCTACCTTTGCCATGGTCTCCATTTTGATGGGAGCGGCTTTGGATTTGTATGCTACGCCCAGGGACTTCGGTTGCAGCTTCGGTGGGGGCATATAAACAAATTCATGTGGTGCCCTTACTCTGGGAACCTCTTCTACGAAACCTTCATATTTCAGTTTGTTATCCTTGGGGCAGACAGTTAGCTTTGTTTGCCGGAGCTGGCTGCCAGTTGTACGAGAAAGTTCTGCAGCCGTTGGAAAGCTGCGATTCAAGAACGACGCATTACTTCCAAGCTGGCTCTTGAATTTCGCCTGGCTGTTAACCAGTGATGTTCTTGGTTTCCCTTTTAAATAAATAAACTTTATATTTTTTCAGGTACTGAATTTATTAAAACAAAATTTACCTTTGCTGAACATTTTAACGTAACGTTTTTTTAATAACTGTAGAAATACAGCAATACATCGATAGCATATTTTCATAGGTTCATAGTGCTGGAAAACTTCACGTCGATTTTCTGTCCTTTTCAACACTGTCACTCCCGCTGTCCACGCGAGTGCCAAGTTATTTTATTTCTTTACATGCATATTTGATAATAAATCAGTTCGTTGATCAAACTGTATTCACCTGAGACGCAGCCATGAGTACGATTCTGGAGAAAATTTCGGCCATCGAGTCGGAGGTAAGCGGTGCTGCAATCACTAAAATCACTGCTGTAAAACTAACCTGTCTCGTATCTTTTCGTCCCCGTCCCCCTCTTCCCTGCACAGATGGCACGCACGCAGAAGAACAAGGCGACATCGGCGCATTTGGGTCTGCTGAAGGCGAAGCTGGCCAAACTTCGGCGGGAGCTGATCTCGCCCAAAGGAGGCGGCGGTGGCACTGGAGAAGGTACGTCGACACGCGTTATCATTTCAATGGATAACAACCAATTGGTAATCTCTTTTAGCCGGCTTTGAGGTGGCCAAAACGGGAGATGCAAGAGTGGGGTTCGTCGGGTTTCCTTCGGTGGGCAAGTCGACGTTGCTATCGAATTTAGCCGGAGTGTACTCGGAGGTGGCCGCCTACGAGTTCACAACCCTGACGACGGTGCCTGGATGCATCAAGTATAAAGGAGCCAAGATCCAGCTGCTCGATTTGCCCGGTATCATCGAGGGAGCCAAGGACGGCAAGGGTCGTGGTCGTCAGGTGATTGCCGTGGCCCGCACCTGCAATCTAATATTCATGGTCTTGGATTGCCTCAAGCCGTTGGGCCACAAGAAGCTGCTGGAGCACGAATTGGAAGGCTTTGGCATTCGGCTGAACAAGAAACCGCCAAACATTTACTACAAACGGAAGGATAAGGGCGGCATCAATCTCAACTCAATGGTCACGCAATCGGAGCTGGACACGGATCTGGTCAAGACGATCCTCTCGGAATATAAAATACACAATGCGGATATTACGCTGCGTTACGATGCCACCAGCGACGACCTGATCGACGTCATTGAGGGCAATCGTATTTATATACCCTGTATCTATCTGCTGAACAAGATCGACCAGATCTCTATTGAGGAGCTGGACGTCATTTACAAGATTCCGCACTGTGTGCCAATTTCGGCGCATCACCACTGGAACTTTGACGACTTGCTCGAGCTTATGTGGGAGTATCTGAGGCTGATTCGAATTTACACCAAGCCCAAAGGACAGCTGCCAGACTACAACTCGCCCGTGGTTCTGCACAACGAGCGGACCAGCATCGAAGACTTTTGCAACAAGCTGCATCGCTCCATAGTCAAGGAGTTTAAATAGTGAGTGTAAATCTGATATATATGTAGAAATTTGGGATTTAAATATTCGTTTATTTTTAGTGCGCTCGTTTGGGGCTCTTCGGTCAAGCACCAGCCGCAGAAGGTGGGCATTGAGCACGTACTAAACGATGAGGATGTGGTGCAGATTGTGAAAAAGGTTTAGAGCTTCGTGTTGATTACATTTTGATTGTGTTTGATTGCAGTTTTGCATTTGAAAATAAAAAAAACGAAACCTGCTGTAATTGTTTTGATTTGATTTTCGAGCCAACTTAACATGTATCTGTTAAGTCCAGTGCGATGGGTTGTGATCTGTTAGGTGTTTTACCATCACTACTGCATCGTGCATGCTAGGGCTGCAAAACCACAGATGGCGCTATCGATAGTACGTAGTATGCTTTGGCTGTTTTTGTTTGAACCTTATTATGTAAGCAATCCAATAAAAAAGCGTTCTAAAAACTAGCCAGTCTTGTAGAAAATGGATGTATCTATCGGATAAAATTATTCGTTTAGGTCTGAGAGGGCCAACTAGCCAGTAATATAAAACTAAATATCAAAATTATGGAATACGATTTCAACCAATAAAATATAACGTTAACCCTTTGTCGACCAGGAGGGTATTTAATATTTCCATGAAATTTATGTAACTTTACCATATTTTACGCATTACAGGTGAAAGATGTCGGTGGTCATTTTTGGTTTGTTAGTGAAGAGGAGGATGGAGCTACAAGGAGCCTTTACAAAAAGTATTATTTTCCGCGGTTTAACAAAGGGTGGTCAACTTTTTAAATAGGGGGGTGTTAAGTGGGTTAAGAGTCTCGTTTGATCGCCGGATTGCCCTGGTTTTTTTTTATGAAATTGTTAAAAATTAAAAAAATAAGAATAATTAGATGGTGGAACTAAAGAAAGGCGACAAACATATCGAGGCTAATGTCTGGGACCCAGGCGACAGCAAGGAATGGGCCACACCCATCAAGCCGCTGGAGGAGAAGTGGAAATTACTGCCGGCATTCCTACAGGTGAAGGGCCTCGTCAGGCAGCACATTGATTCGTTCAACCACTTCATAAATGTGGACATCAAGAAGATAGTGCGTGCCAACGAGCTGGTCACTAGCGGGGCCGATCCCCTCTTCTACCTCAAGTACTTGGATGTGCGGGTGGGCAAGCCCGATATCGATGATGGCTACAACATAACCAAGGCGACCACGCCGCACGAGTGCCGCCTGAGGGACACCACCTACTCGTCCCCCATTACCGTGGACATTGAGTACACTCGCGGTACGCAGCGCATCAAGAGGAACAACCTGCTCATTGGCAGGATGCCACTCATGTTAAGGTGCTCCAATTGCGTGCTGACCGGAAAGTCGGAATTTGAATTGTCCAAGCTGAACGAGTGTCCACTGGATCCCGGCGGCTACTTTGTGGTGCGTGGCCAGGAGAAGGTGATACTCATCCAGGAGCAGCTGTCGTGGAACAAAATGCTTACCGAGGACTTCAACGGCGTCGTCCAGTGCCAGGTCACGTCCTCCACCCACGAGAAGAAGTCCCGTACTCTGGTGCTGAGCAAACACGGACGCTACTACATGAAGCACAACTCCATGACGGACGATATACCCATCGTGGTCATCTTCAAGGCGTTGGGCATTGTCTCTGACCAGGAGATCATGGCACACATTGGCATAGACCCAAAGTCGCAGAATCGCTTCGGTGCCTCCCTGCTGGAGGCTTTCAATTTGAAGGTGTTTACCCAGCAGCGGGCTCTGGACTACATGGGTGAGACGATCCTCGTTTTGTTTACTCCTTAGCTAATTGTCTGATTTCCACATTCTTCAGGCTCCAAGCTGGTGGTAAAGCGCTTCCAAAGCGCCACCACAAAGACACCCTCAGAAGAGGCGCGTGAGCTGCTGCTCACCACGATCCTTGCGCATGTTCCGGTGGACAACTTCAACTTCCAAATGAAGGCCATCTACGTGTCCATGATGGTGCGACGTGTGATGGCCGCCGAGCTGGACAAGACGCTCTTTGACGATCGCGACTACTACGGCAACAAGCGTTTGGAGTTGGCCGGCTCCCTCATCTCGCTCATGTTCGAGGATCTGTTCAAGCGCATGAACTGGGAGCTGAAAATGATCGCGGACAAGAACATACCCAAGGTGAAGGCGGCGCAGTTCGATGTGGTGAAGCATATGAGAGCGGCACAGATTACCGCCGGCCTGGAGTCGGCCATCAGTTCGGGCAACTGGACCATCAAGCGATTCAAAATGGAGCGAGCTGGCGTCACCCAGGTTTTGTCCCGCCTCAGCTATATATCCGCTCTGGGCATGATGACGCGAGTAAACTCTCAGTTCGAGAAGACGCGGAAGGTGTCCGGCCCCAGATCGTTGCAGCCCAGTCAGTGGGGCATGCTCTGTCCATCGGATACGCCTGAGGGCGAGGCCTGCGGCTTGGTCAAGAATCTGGCTCTAATGACGCACATCACGACGGAGGTGGAGGAGCGTCCGGTGATGATTTTGGCATTCAACGCCGGTGTGGAGGATATACGTGAAGTGAGCGGCAATCCCATCAACAACCCGAATGTCTTTCTGGTGTTCATCAACGGCAATGTGCTCGGTCTCACGCTGAATCACAAGCATTTGGTGCGGAATCTACGCTACATGCGGCGTAAAGGGCGCATGGGCAGCTTTGTGTCCGTGCACACATCCTACACTCAGCGGTGCATCTATATACACACCGATGGCGGGCGCCTGTGCCGTCCCTATATCATTGTGGAGAATCGCCGTCCGCGGGTCAAACAATTCCATCTGGACGAGCTTGAGCGGGGCGTGCGAAAGTTTGACGATTTCCTCTTGGATGGCCTCATCGAGTACCTGGATGTGAACGAGGAGAACGATTCGTTTATTGCGTGGAACGAGGAGCACATAGAGGAGGGCACCACCCACCTGGAGGTTGAACCATTCACGCTGCTAGGGGTGTGTGCGGGCCTCGTCCCTTATCCGCATCACAACCAAAGCCCCAGGAACACCTATCAATGCGCCATGGGCAAGCAGGCGATGGGCATGATTGGCTACAATCAAAAGAACCGCATAGACTCGCTGATGTACAACCTGGTCTATCCCCAGGCGCCAATGGTCAAGACCAAGACCATAGAGCTGACAAACTTTGACAAGCTGCCGGCCGGACAGAACGCCACCGTGGCCGTGATGAGTTACTCGGGCTACGACATCGAGGATGCGCTGATCCTGAACAAGGCTTCCATTGATCGCGGCTATGGCCGATGTTTGGTGTACAAGAACTCCAAGTGCACGGTGAAGCGGTATGCCAACCAGACCTTTGACCGGATCATGGGTCCCGTTAAGGATGCCCTCACCAACAAGGTGATATTCAAGCACGATGTCCTGGACACGGATGGCATTGTGGCACCGGGCGAGCAGATCCAAAACAAGCAGATCATGATCAACAAGGAGATGCCGGCGGTGACTTCCCTCAATCCATTGGAGGGTCAATCGACTCAGGTGCCCTACACAGCGGTGCCCATCAGCTACAAGGGGGCCGAGCCCAGCTATGTTGAGCGCGTGATGGTCTCGGCCAACTCGGAGGAGGACTTCCTCATCAAGATCCTTCTGCGCCAGACCCGCATACCCGAGATTGGCGACAAGTTCAGCTCGCGGCACGGTCAGAAGGGTGTCACGGGGCTCATTGTGGACCAGGAGGACATGCCCTACAATGATTCCGGCATTTGTCCGGACATGATCATGAACCCTCACGGATTCCCCTCCCGCATGACAGTGGGCAAGACTCTGGAGCTGCTCGGCGGCAAGGCCGGACTTCTCGAGGGCAAATTCCACTATGGCACGGCATTTGGTGGCTCGAAGGTGGGCGACATTCAGGCGGAGCTGGAGCGGCACGGCTTCAACTATATGGGCAAGGACTTCTTCTACTCGGGCATCACTGGAGCTCCCCTGCAGGCGTACATCTACTCCGGCCCGGTCTACTATCAGAAGCTGAAGCACATGGTCCAGGACAAAATGCACGCCAGGGCGCGGGGTCCCAAGGCCGTGCTCACACGCCAGCCAACCCAGGGCCGGAGTCGGGAGGGCGGCCTGCGGCTAGGCGAAATGGAGCGCGACTGTCTCATCTCGTACGGCGCCAGCATGCTGATTATGGAGCGTCTGATGATATCCTCCGACGCCTTTGAGGTGGATGTGTGTCGTACCTGTGGCCGCCTGGCCTACTGCTCCTGGTGCCACTTCTGTCAGTCGTCGGCTCACGTCTCGAAGATATCCATGCCGTATGCCTGCAAGCTGCTCTTCCAGGAGCTGACCAGCATGAACGTGGTGCCCAAGATGATCCTGGAAGACTACTAATTGCTGGACCCTGAATTTCAAAATAAAATGTTTTCCTCTTTTTTAAAATCTGCCAAAGTGCAGTGTTTGCTCTCTCTCTCTCTCTAGAATCCTTGTTTGATATATGTTTATGGCTGTCCTTGGGGACTGCCCACAGGCGGTTCCCATTTCGTTGCTTTACTTTCGCATTTGCGTACAGTTTTACATATTCATGAAGGTCCCTGCCAACGAAGGAGCGGGGGCAACGACAAGTCCTTTTGCTTAGCAGAGCTGGTAACTAACATCAGCTCAGCAGCTTTTAATTGCCTCTGTTATCCCTTTTTAGGGCTCTTTAATTGATAACACTAGTCAACACGATTTTTCCTCAAGGAACAAAACGAACTTTTTCTTAAAGATTTGGGGCTTAGAAATGGTTTGATGATATTTTTTTTTTTATGCAGAACTTTTTTTAATTTTTAAGCTGGTATTTTTTTTAAGCTTTTTTCAGAGGTAGTTGTTTTTACATAGCTCTAGTAAGACTGGTTGTAGAACTTTGATATTTTGAGATAATTAAACAGCTAGAAGTGAAGCCCAAACACTTTGTGATTACAGCTTACCGTCTGGAAATATAAAGCATTGAAATGCAAGAATGATGATTTTTGTGCGGTATTTTTTACGAAATTTGACTTTAAAAACTCAGGAAAGTCAAAAAAAATTATATCTTGTGTTTTATATTTTTTTGTGTATAGGTGCATTAATTTGGCGTCGTTTAAGGTATCGCTCATTAAAATCTATGGAGACTTTGAGCTAAAATTCGTTAACCAAACCTAAAAAATGAAAAAAATGAACAAAAAATACCTTTTCGATGGTTGCGGGCCCAACTGCCAATTGGGAATTTTCGACTTTTCCGAGTTTTTAAAGTCAAAATTTCGTAAAAATACCGCACAAAAATCATCATTTATGCATTTCACTGCTTTATATTTCCCAGACGGTAAGCTGTAATCACAAAGTGTTTGGGCTTCACTTCTAGCTGTTTTAATTATATTTTCAAAATATCAAAGTTCTTTACAACCAGACGTAAGATACTAGAGCTATGTGAAAAAACAAGCGCTACCTCTGAAAAAAGCTTAAAAAAAAATACCAGACTTCAAAAATTCTTCAAAAAAAAGTTCTGCAATAGAAAAAAAACCATAATTCTTTAAAAAATTTAAAATCCCCATATCTATCAGAAAAAGTCGGTTTGGATCCTTGAGGAAAAAAAAAGTTCGATTTTGTCGAGTAGTGTAATTAATGTGGGTTCCTTTGCGTCATCTGAAGCATTTGAGGGGCTTCTTTGTTTGGCTATACAATGATATACTCGCCTTCGTTTGTGTCACCTCACCTGACTGTGAATGTAAGTCTCAACCCAGATAGGAGCTGGAGTCAACGTCTCCCAGTGGTCAATGCACTGACTCGGGGCACGTGACTCGACACATTGCACCCACACAAGGCAATGTCCTTGTGCGTCTTTTCAAGTGACTTCCGCTCGAAATCGTCAAAGCCACCTGCCAGGCAGACACCCCAATCCGCCACTCCAAGTGACTGCCACAGATGCTGTTGTTGCTGCTGTTGTTGTTGTTCCCCTGGATGCAGTGCAATGACAGGACAGCAAAAAGGGGCAAGCTGCCAAGCAACAGTAGCAGGAGCAGCAGCAGCCAATGGGGCGCACAATGATGACAATTTAAGGCTGCCACCGCCGGCAGCACCCATCCCACACCACACTACACGTTCTATCCATACCATACCATTCCTTCCATTCAGGTTCCAAAGCAACTCAACTCAATCTGGGTCCACTTTCCGGCTTCGCTTCGCTTCGGGTTTCCTTTCATTTCTTTTGGCTATTTGTCAAAAAGTTTGCTGTTTGCTCCCCAGCAACAAGGGGTCTCTGGCTATGGATGGGTTGTCTGTGTCTATGTGTCTGTGTGTGTTTAGATATTATAGATTTAAATGGGTGTTGGCCACTTGGGCAGAGAGTTAAGTGCTGCTTAACTGTCCGGCTGGGTGAAGTCCGAAGGATGGTCAATGGTAGGGATGATTGTACTATAGTGTGCACTGATGAAATGGTTTTCCCATGATTGTCCCCTTTTGGTGCATCTGCCGAGTGGGATGGGATAGGGATCAGTGGAGGGGATTAGCTTTGCTTTATATTCCCATTTAATGCCGATGAACGTTAGTTCTATTTCATCCTTTGCTGATAACAGCGCTCTGCTGATAACATAGTAAGCTTACTTACTCTCGCTTTTTCTCAATTTGCGTGCTCTTTTGTAAGCTCTGCATATCAATGCTCTCTTTTGGCTACTTAGTGATGCTGATTGGGCGGGGCTAGAATTGGAACTCCTCAAGTTTTTGCTATTGATATATACGAGTTTTTAATAAAAAGAAACAAAAAAAAATAGGATAGCTTTTGATACCATTGCGGATTTATCCTTCTCATAGCAAATAAACTTTTGTTGATTTAGTTTTGCATGTAAGCCACCCAAATTTGAAAGTTTTGCCTAAATTATGGCATATAAGGAGAATAAAAAGATGAGTTGTTTAGATTCTACGTTCTATAGTTTCACTATTTAAGCCTGTGCTGGGATCCAGTTTTGTACTGTTTTAATTCCTAGCTTTTTTCCCGCCAAAAGAGCTTCACTGCACTCTCCAAGATGGGCTATAAAAGCAGGCGCTGGCGTTGCCAGAAGCTGAGTCAAAGCCGAAAGCTCGCACAAAAAACTCAGCTAAATAAACTGATTCTCACTTCAAGTGCAACTTGTAAAGGAATTCAAAAGGCAAAAACTCGTAGCGTGGTGTGGGTGTGTCGGTGTAACAATTGGAAACAAATCGACGATTGGATTATAATGTTTGCTGTGTAGAATAGTTTACTAGACGCTTGCTTGGAACGAGCATAGTTTAAAGTACTATTAAATCTCAGAAGTGAATTGAAACAATGCCCAACGCCAAGGAAACAACAACCAGTTCGGGCAACAACTCGAAAAAGCCGTTCAAAGTGAGTTTTTGGAAGGAGTTCATTATATGTACTTTTATAATCATACAAAGGCCAAAAGGCAAACAAAGCAACGCCCGCATGGGCAGTGCAGGCCATGCCCTTTTTGGGGCGTTGTGCCTCGCTGTTGTTGTTCTGTAGGCCGCGTGCTGCGTTCGGTTTTTTTTGGTTCCTTTTTTTATGGAAACTGGGTGAACTTTGCGATGCTTGTAAGCAGTGCAAGAGAGAGCTTAAAGAGAGGCAGGTGAAAGCTCAGTAACGGCGGCTCTCTTAAAAAGGCAGCAACATAACATTAATTCTCGCCTCTGTTTTTTTGTTTGTCTTTGCTCTGGCTTTGGCTTTGCTTATGGAATTGTTTGTGTTTGTGTTTTGTGTTTGCCACCCGTATGGGGGCTTGGTTGGACCTTTGTTCCCGAATAATTTGTTTATCTGCTGTTTAAAGAGCACAGTCCCTGCCTCCGCAGCCACTCCCTCTGTTTTCTAAAGCCGGTAAAAAAACCACACGCAGAACATGCAACATGCAACGCAAACGAAACCAGAACAACCCAAAAGCCGCAACGCAATTTTAACTGCCTGCCAGAAGCAGAGACAGAGAGAATCTTTCTTTGTGTCCGCATCTCCAGGAGGATGGAATCGTATTCCATTTCTTTCAGATGGTATCCATTGAAATGCCGCAGCTTATGAAAATAATTAATTCAAAAACCGCCAAACACAAATCGGCTTAACAGCCCTGTCGCTTGCCCAGACAGCCATGAAAATGCCATTAAAAAGGGAAACTTTTCATCTCGACATGTCTCTGTAATTAGCACAGGGCAACGCCCACTCATACCCAAACCCCCCACCACCTCCCGTTAAGGCTTAAATAATTTATTTAACAATTTACATAATTCCATGTCATGTCATAGTTGGAAAGCAATTCAAGGCTTCCCTATCGCCTAATTTCCCCCGGGCCGTGGATATCTGCGGCCTAAGCCCATCAAATATTTAAAAGGCGACTTGTGGATCCGGTCCAACATGCAGATGAATGGAAGGGCTCTGCCCTGGCACAAAGTCCCAGACATGTTGGCGACAGGTCTCGTCTCCCTTGGCTATATGTGGATAACGATAGTTGAGCAGTTTTAGCTGGTTGTGATTGAAGGATCCATCAGGCTAATGCCACGTTCAGTATCCGTATAACTTTGTTTGGCTGTCAAAAACTTTTCCAGTACCATTTTCTATGGGTTGAACTTCCCCCGTTTATTGCCGGCTGTTCTGTTGAAAATTCGTTGTGCGTCTAGAAATTTTAATTAAATTGCCAACACAAACAATGAGAAAAATCTTTTATATTCGTATGTATACTTAACATTTCACAAGTTTCATTTGAAAACAAACAACTCAATTATATTTTCGCTCCTAAAAGAGCTCCAGATTCGTATGAATCTTTGAATGTCTGTCCCTCGGGGGTGGCGGATTTCGGGAAAGTTTTGAGTGTGGCAAAGTTTTTCAGTCACAATATCATATGATTAATATTTGACACTGGCGATGCGGAAAAGTTGGACCGCTTTAAGCGGGAATTTAACGGCGGATGGCCGAGAAATGGTTAAATGTGAATTGAAATAAAAAGTTTCATTTGGCAATGCCATTGCTCTATTATTTATGAAGGCTTCACGAGAGGACTTGCACGTTCCTCAACGTTTTTGGGACCGTAAATTTCTCAGATCTGATGGCCCGTACCGGCCCGGCCCGTCCCGGCCAGGCCAGGTCTAATTTATGTTCCGTTTAACCTTTGCGCTGAGGCACCATTTAAGGTGCATGCAAGTTTAATGGAGCCTGGTGGAGGCATGTTGTTGTCCTTGTGCCGAGTACTCGCTTATGGCATTTGGCCTCCGTCTCCTCCACCGCCTAAGCATACAGCTTGGTGCATGAAGCATGCTGCATGCAACGCCAAACTGCTGACAGGCATAACTTGTCACAAAAAGATAGTGGCAGAGCCTGAAGTGGCACAAGAGGAGGTGCAGCATAAACGGGTAAATATTTGTACCGCAGCCGGAAAGAAGTGCATGTCAAACTGGGTTCGAGATGTTTCTCCGCTGCATCAGGAGCACAAATAAACCCCCAGACCCCTAGCCCCCATCCGGAACTAAAGTTGGGTCTCGAATTTCCGCTTAATCTGTCGGATGTCAAAGTTCTATATACAGCTCTTTCTCGCCCCATGCCACAAGTCTCAATTAGTTCAAATTGACTCCTGCCGGAAGGACATGCCGTGTGCGCCATATTTTGCTTATTTATTCCTGTCTCTCTCTTTTTTTTCTGCAAGGCGGATATTGGAGGAGACAGATTAGTCGCCTCGGGGGCATTATTGTTTGTGTGCAAGTGATTGGAGTAATTTACGATTATTTCTTGTAATTGCGGGACAAAAGCCATTAACTGAAAGTGCTGCCGATTGAAAAGCCCTTCATAGTAATCGGCATGACAGTTGAAATATTTTTGTGCTCCGCTTCCAGATACCGGAATTTTCTGTGGATTGGGGTGGGGTGGCTGCCTTTTGTCTGTTTCATGTCTCATTTTGCTGGGTGCTGTCTTGGACCCGATTAAATAATGCATTGGACTGGTCGAATGGCGGGACCCATCTGTATCTGTTCCCTCTGCTGGCATCAATTTATTATTCATTATGGCCATATGTAACGTAACTGTAAAAACATGCAATTATTCCCTTTTCCCTTTTCCCCTTTCCGTATCCGTTTCCATTTCCATTTCGTTGCGACCTTCTTCTGTTCACTGTTTACTGTTTGTTTACTGCCTTGTGGGATGGGTGGGGGCCAGGTCAAGGACGTAACGCGAAACATTAAGAAGGCCGTGTGCGCCGCCAGCCTGGAGGAGATACGGGACAAGGTGGCGGAGAAGTTCGGCCAGTGTGACCACGTGCCCACCATCCACCTGGACTCGGATGGCACCGAGATCGACGACGAGGAGTACTTTCGCACTCTCGACGAGAACACGGAGCTGGTGGCTGTCTTCCCCGGCGAACACTGGATCGATGTGAGTCTCCTAATTGGATAATTCATTTATGTCTTAATTGCTTTACACTCGTTGCACACCCTGAAATTGTCCACGGAAGGAGAGATGTAATTATCTGCTTTGTTTTCCGTTTACAGCCCACGCACTACGTGACCATAACCACGCCGCATGGCAGCGAGACCGTGACGGGCAATGGCGACAGCTCTCCAGGAGGAGGAGTACTCGGTGGAAGCTGTGACGGTGGCGACACCACAGATGCCAACAACTCGGAGTCGGCGGCACGCATCCGGCAGCTGGTCGGACAGCTGCAGAACAATCTCTGCAACGTTTCGGTGATGAACGATGCGGATCTGGACTCGCTATCCAACATGGATCCCAATTCGTTGGTGGACATCACCGGCAAAGAGTTTATGGAGCAGCTTAAGGATGCGGGCAGGTCGGTGGAACACTCACACTTAAATTGCTTTCGACCTATAGTCCAGACGCTGTCCATTTTTTGTATCATTATTTCCGCCAGACCGCTGTGTGCCAAGCGCAATGCCGAGGATCGTCTCAATTTGCTGAAGCTGCTCAAGGCCGGGGCCATCTTCTGCTCGGAACGTTATCCGGAAGATGCCGAGGCCATCGACCGCGAGATCGGACGCCAGCTGAACGAGGCGGAGAGCGGACAGTTAACGGCCACGACGGCCAGCAACACGCGCACCATCGAGGTGGTGCAGTGCGACAATCAGAACACGACGATAACCATTACTGTGGGCGAGGCCAGCAGCACCTGCATGGCCACTGCCTCGGTGGAGGCGGCGGCCAACGAGGCCAATGCCAATGCGAACGGGAATGCCGGTGGCGACATCTGACTGCCCATTCTGGGCAGCCTCAGGTGAAAATCTGTCGGTCGCGGATTAGACTAGGAGATGAGAATCAGCGAAGGAAATTAAGGAGCGCTTACGGAGACATCAGTCCTGCAACAATGGGTTAACATACATATAATATACAGTTGTAGCTTGTAATTAGGCGCTGCGGCAGCTGCAGAAACAAATTTAAATTGAAACGAAACGAAGACAAAATCAATCGAGAAATCACAGAGAAAGCTTCATAGGATCTAAGAGCAAATGAAAGTTAACGACAAAATACACGTGTATTAGTATTAAACAGACATACATACATACACAAATACATATATAAAGAATAAGGAGGCGATGCCACATAGCTTTGAAGAGTCTTTTAGCAATCAGGAGGTCAGTCAGGTCAGTGTCAGTGTCATAAACCCCATTAACCGCCAAACTAATAATAATAATCAAACCCAAATGAAGTAGAAAATTAGATATTACAATGAGATGAATTCACAAGTCTAGATAAAAACCCCAGAGAAGAGTGTTGTCGCTGTTGTTGTTGGTTGATTTTCGGCCACTTTGGAGATTTTGTTCGTGTCGTTAATTAATTGTATTTAATCGAGTTATGCAAAAGGAGACAGAAGAGACGCACATCAAAAAATTGTTTTTACACCGATGCCATTGTGAATGTCATTCGTTAAAGGCCAATTGAGACTGACTGTATTTATGTGTATTAATCGTAATAGATTTTTGTGGGCCGCAATCTCGGCCCGGGTGAAGATGGATAGGCGGATGTATGGATGGAAGGATGGAAGGAGGCACCCCAAAGACAACCCATGGTTCTATTGTCGAGTGAATTTAAGCAACGACAAACATTAACATTAGCAATTTAAACAATAAACAATAAACGCGACATTCAATTGCACGACAAACAAACAAAACCAAAAAACAAACAAATAACACCAAATACAAAATACAAAACCCAACCACGAAAACTGTCTACAATTGGAATAAGCAATAAGGGAAGGATCCGAATGGAAACAAAACAATTATTAACTTTAGCAAAGTGAAACGAATACTCGTACCGATGATGTAAACTATATACACGAATAAATAAATGAATAATTAACGAGAGTTGAGTGAACTGCAGAAAGTAACTAGCTAGGCAGCGGTGCGTATGCGCAACATAGTACACACCGTGTGCAACAGGGCGTATGGGTGTTCCGTTTCGTTCCATTGCATCGCTCTTTCGCTGGCAAAAGAGCGAGCAGAGCTTGAAGAGAAAAATAGAAAAACGAAGAGAGAGAGCGGGATACTGCATGCAGTTAATTGTTTTAGCTTGGATACGGACTTGAAATCGGCTTGGTTTGTGACGTCACAAGACTGTGACGTGTGCAGCACGGGTCCGGGTGCCTGTCGCAGGACGGATGATGGCCTAGTAACACAGTTAAAAGCTCCGGCCCCGCAAATGACCCAAATTCGTGACGACAGAAACAATTTGCGCCCACAGCAGTGAGCAGTGGGCGTGGCCTAAGCCTAATGAATTACATTTGTTTTGTGGCCTTTGCACACTTAATATATATCATCAAAATAAAGTCTTTGTCGGGTTTCCCTCCCCCCACCAGATGCCCCCTCATGCCCTTTGATGTGCGTTTTAATTTTGTGCAGAAAGAACACAAGAAATATTCAAAATGAAACCAAAACTCTTGGCTTTCTTTGACTGCTTTTGAAGTGCGGTCGCAATTCGCATTCACGCATTTACCTTCATACATTTGTTCGTACATACATATGTGTATGGCTGACTCCCCGCGCCTTGGCTTTAATTTGTCTTGAGTTTCCTTTTCTTTTGAAGTTCCATTTGTATATTAATTTTAAGTGCGCGCGAAACACATCCATACGGGCTACAAAGACTAATTTGGTTGGTCGTGGCGTTAGCCGATTTAAACTCCTAAAAGCACTTGCAATCAGACATCATCGGCATCGTTAGACGCCACACCATGTGAGGGTCAAATGTCAAAGCCAGCTGGTGGCAAATTCTCAGCTTGGGAGCGGGAGAGCGGGGGCGTGGCTTTGTAAACAACATATTGAGTGAGGATTTGCCCGGATAACGAGTCGCCAGAGTCTTTCAAGCGAGGGCATAATTTTCTACAATTTCTGCTGCATGCCTTTTCTTTTTTTTTTTCCTTTTGCATACACACACATACACATTATCGCATTTCCCCCGAAATAAATGTCACGAGCAGGATGGTTGGTGGGGGTAACTAAGGAGGGGGTACCAGCAGCCGCCTCTGGCTGTTTGCTTTTCTCAGTGTTGCTTTCGTAGTGCACATAAACAAGGAGTTCGTTCTCTAATAGATGCCGCAATGGGCATTACTAATACGCCCCGTGGCGCTTTTCATTCTATGTGTGGTGTGTGTTTTGTGCTGTGAGTGTGTGTGTGTGTGTGTGTTTGTGCTGTGTGGGTGGATAAGTAGGGGTCTGTGTGGAGGAAGGTTGCTCATAATTGTGCAACCAGAGCCATGGCCAGCGGCAAACTGCTGCTCAGACTGCCTCATTTTGGTGTTTGGCTTTTCTCGGAAGTCATTAGGGTAAATCTGAGCTCACAAATATATAGTACATACATTTCGAGCAACGGTACTGATGGAAATGGCAATGAATGCCCCACAGCCATAGTCGTAGCCGTGAGCCAGCTGTCAGTAATTCTATAATGAAAATTTAACCAACTTTGGCAAACACAAATATGAAATTATCCGTTTGGTTTATCTTGATGCAATTGCTGCCAATGGCGATGCTGATGCTGGTACCCACAAGCCACAAAGGAGACGCCTCTGTGGCCAAGTCCCAGAAAGACAACTCTGTGACCAACCTAGGGACGAGCTCCTGCCTTGCGGGGTGCCTCAAGGCGAGCAACATCAGCAGTGTGGACCCGCCGACAGAGTGTCCACAGTATGAGAGGACCCTCGACTGCACACTGATCTGCTTGTTCCAGCATTAGCTGCATACAAACAACGGCCAGAAGTGAGAGTAACATAATTATTCACGCTTTATCTGCTGTATAACTGATGCTTAATTGGGAGAGTATAAACACTCATCATTCACGCCTTTATCTTTGTCCAGCTTTATCCTGCATAAATTCACAAGAGCCTCTTGGGCATCATTCACTCTTTATCTACCTCATGGACCGCTTTTTGGCCTGTTTGGCCTATCACCTTCATTTCAGCCGTAAGCGAATTAAGCGTAAATGCATTTCGTTGTACAAAATAAAAGCGCAGCCCCACAAGCTTTGCCGAAATGCAAATCAATTACGTGTACCATTAATTTTAATTGCATGTTACACATTTCGAGTATACACAAAAGGCTGGCAAAACCCAACTGTCGGCTTGGCTCATATAGTAAGCCCGTATATTTTAATTAAATTAAATTGTTTGCAATTTTTTCAGCATGTTCCCATACTGAAATTCCGATTTATTTCTCCCTCTTTTCCGTTGATAGTCATTTAGAATGTCAAATGCCAGAGGAGCGGTTGGGGCAGGAGCAAATATTTGGCATTTACACATCCGGATGCCATGCCGGCTGAATCCTCGTGTGCTGCTCCGACAAGTTCAAACAAAAACACCAAAAAAAAAAAAAAAACCAGCAGAAAAAGGAGACAACCAAATGGCGAGTACCCATTATTCGGGAGCCTTGAAAAACGGGCATGGCAGATCAACAAATTTGCAAGGGTATCCAAAGTGCAACAGTCCAATCCCCTTTTCGAATATCAAAGGTTGAGCCTGCAGCAAAAGACCGGACCCAGACCGAGACCCTGCGGCTGTGGCAATTAATCATTGCCACATGCGTTGAGTGTGACCTTTTTGAAGGCAACTCCTGCTGCTGCTGTTGCTGCTGTTGCTGCTGTTGATGCTCCTCTTGCTGCGACGACATGTGAGTTAATTAATCTAACTGCCCAACGGCTGTCAGACTGCAGACGAGGACAATAGTAGAAGGAAGGTCATGGACTGTTATTAAACACGCCGCTCGATGATGAAGGGGATTTCGGCAGCACCACCCCCTGACCGTCAGCACTTCCTCGGCAAACCCACCTGGCTGACGCGGCGCATAAATTTCAATTTGTTCCACCGTCTGGTCGGTTCAGGGAGGATGGGGTGCGGGTCTATGCATTTAAATTGATGTTGCTTCTGGCTGCATATGCGAAAAGTTGTTCGCGCCACGGCCCAATGCACAATTAGTGGACCGAGGCACATAAATTATGTGGTCCCCCAACCGAAAGGGGGAAATGAAGGCGGAAATGATTGCCTCGAAGGGCGAACAAGCAGACGAATGTGCAAAATGGCAACCGAAATTCGCTGATGCGATGCGGTCGGTCGGTCAGTCAGCTAAAATATGCATAGAGTGTTGCCTGCTTTTAGGCCCAGCAAGGACTCGTCGCGAGACAGCGAACAATCAATGAGAGAGGTAATCCATTCGCGAATGCCATCATGACGTGACTCTGCAAGTGATCACGTACCCATCCCCATCAGGGCTGCAGGATTTCCGCAATTACTTTAACCGCGCCATACATACATATAGTACATATGAGTATGCGTATGTCTATGGCATTTATGAGCAATATTTCGGCATTGTAGGCTTAACTCTGTTATAAATATCGTCCCCACATGATGTTTAAAGCCTCGGGGTCTGACTTTAAACAATAAATTTGTATATCAAGTCAGCTGGCGGTGGAGCGGGGTCTAATAAATCGAATAAAATAAAAAGAAGTCCTTTGTCTCTCAACCTCAACCGAAACACCTTTGTACTAAATCTTTTACCACGGCTTAATTATGCAGCCAGGGAAAGGGCATCGGCATCGGCAGCTTCATCTCATTATGCCGGAAAGTCACAGTTTTCAAACCCTTTGCATTTATGGGAGTTTTGTCCCCGAAACTGCAAAGCGAAGCGAACTTTATTTTATTGCGTTAGCAAACTTTGCCCTTACGCCTCGAAAAGTTCGGTCTAAATTATTTATATTTACTGCCTTTATGTACATTTTGCTCTATACGTACGAGAGTACTAGAGTGTATGCGGGTGTTGGTCGGGCCAAGTGCAACTATTTGCTTGGCTGTGCCACCTGCTACCGAAAACTTTGTCCCATTCACAGGTCATAGAGTCCCATAGAGTCCCATAGAGTCCCGGCCAGACATTTGATGGTTGTCTGCCTCCCAGTCACGCCCATACACATTCAGCCCCCAACCTAACAGCATCTTAACAGTCCTCTGTAAGCGCACTCTCGCGCTCTCGCGCGCTCTTTGCAAAAGCTCTCTGCTGGCATTTCTTTGTTGTGTTTGCCTGGCTTTTCCCCACTGGCTTTGCTTGGCAGGGGGGTTGTGTTTGCAAAGGCCGAGGCTATTGCCGAGCGACGTCCTGTCCTGGCTTGTTTAAATACAGGACGGTCGGATGTCTGGCAATTTATTCCAAGCTCTGCCGGCTTTTGTTCCACTTGGCTGTCGAAAAGTGGCGCAACTCAAACGAACTCCGGCGGCGTCTCGCGTATCGTAATTTAATCGGAAATAAATTGGTGAAAAATATATATTTTAAAACGATGTGAAGAGTTTCCCGTCTTAAAATTAATTATAATGTAAACAAACAACACACAAAATACATAAGTGTTTTAATTTAATATGAAATTACTTAATTGCGTTTAAATTAAATTACTTATAGCTCAAGGGTATATGCTATGAGTATATGAAAAAAACAATATTAAATCCAAGGTATACCCATTACGCATAATTAAGTGAAAAGTTGCTAAACATTTAAAAAATTTTTAACATTTTTCCGAGGAAAAATCAAAAGTTCTCTGATGGCAAAAGTTCGTAAAACATTTTGTAAACATTTATTCAGCTCGAAAAAAATATTGTTTTTGCGGTAACCGTTTCCGAGAGGATCCAGTACAGAGCAGTACAGCGTGCTAGATATTTTAATTAATGCTTAAATTTGTTTTCCTTATCATAAATCCCGCCTTCCAGACTCTCGAAAACTTTTGAGACAAAAAAAAGAGACGCCAGAAATGAATGCAGCAACAGCAGCAGCAGATGGAAAAACTGCCACAGGAATGGCAGATGCAGAAATAGCAATGGAATCGCAAGGAGCAGAGGCAACAGGAACTGCAGCTGGATCTGCCCCACCATCCAGACAACGGACACTGACACGCACCGCAGAACTGGACGCGGATGGCGATGACATTGAAGTGGATGCCGAGGCGGATGATGCCGCGGACAGCATCACACTAGATCTGGCCCTTTCCCCCCACAGCAGCACGCCCACACCGCCGCCCACCATGTCCGAGGAGGATTTCGCCCAATTGGACAACAGCAAACCCTTCAAGGTACCGTACCCCATAGCCTTTGTGCGCGTCAGGCCCTTCATTTGCTTTCTGCTCGCTGGACCAGAATTCCGTTAAGTGAATGTGGCCCTCCCCTGCCCTGCCTCGCGCGGCTGCTGGTGAAAAAGTTGTGAAGAGTCCATCACCAGCATGGCAGCATGGGTAGAAAAAACGCTGGCCGGCCGGGCCACTTGAGAGCCATCCATGTGGAGGTGGAGGGGCATCGACATTGGCGTTTCTATTGCCGCCGCTGCTGAAGCGTTTTGGTTAAGTTTTCAAGTTTTTTGCTGATGCAGAGCTGAAGCGGGAAAAGCACTAATTCCCAGCCCGAAAAACAGACTTTTGTATATACTCGTGATATAAAGAGTATTTTATTCTTTTATTCCTTGTATTCTTTCCTTATTCTTTGTTTTTAATGGCTGTAGAGAAAATATAATTTGACCACAAGTTGGGCGAAAGGAAGCCAGTTTTTTTGATTTTCAAGAACTGAAAATTAATTAAAATGTTGAAACTGTTCAGCTAGACACAATACTGAAAGTAGAAGCCAGCAGCAGCTGCACAAAAGGTACGAGAAGCATGCGGGCGCGCGACCAACCGACCAATCAACCATCCAATAAGCCGTCTCGTCTGCGCCCGTCCGTGAGATGATAACGAGGCGGCGTCTGGCACTTGGCCACGCATCGTCGGGGCTGTGGATTGCACCGCCCTGCGCCAGGGACTGCTCCTCTCTCAAGGACCTCTGAAACTAATCGATTTATTGTGTGCTAAAGGCATTCAAGAGACCGCCGCCATAACAATGCGAGATGGCCAAAAGACCAGCAGCCCATGGGCCCACTGCATAGATGATAAGCTCTGCCCATAGCCAAGTGGCTGTAAATTTGCCAGACAGACAGCAGCAGCGGCAGCAGAAGTAGCAATTAATTGACAGCTTGCCATGGTCAGAATGTTGGGAAATTTGTTATAGCCAGGCAGAGGAGAGAGGACAGAGACTTGCAAAATTGATGAATGATGAACAGTTTAGTTATTCATGAGTATTTTAGCTAATTAATTAACCCCACCTCGGTGTTCTCCTCCCCGTCCATCACTCACCTTTCGAATTAGTACGTGTGTGTTTGTGTGCAGAGCATGGGGGAAATGGAACTGATGGAATATGCTATCTACTCGCTGGCAGACTAAAAGGGAGCTGCATAGGAAGAAATAATTGAGTTAATGGGATTACCTTTTATCTGATGAGAGAAGGGGTTCCTTTTCAGTTCAATTTCATTTAATTTTTTCTGCTACTCGTACAGCAGCACAGAGCAGTTTAACAACACACAGAAAAAATCGAATCCGACTTCAGTAAAACTTCCCCAGGAGTGACATTTTCGAAACTTGTTCGGTTCTGTCGTCATTCGCTCCACGCACAGTCCCCACTGAGTCGCAAATGCGATTTCCATGTTGCAGTCCACCTTTAAATGTATTCAAGCAAATGTCCTGTGCTTCAGCTACACAGCCACAGACATACAGACACCTTCCAAATGAGCTTAAAACCGGAAAACGGAAGGAAACGAAACCGCGTCATGGCGGGAATTAAATTACCCACGGATGGAGCCCACACAAAACGATGCAAAACATCAGAAAACAAGCTCTCAGCCAACAGTCAACAGAAAATGGCATTTAGAAAAGAAGGCGTCATGGGAGAAGCCTCGCCCGCACAATGCGTATACGCAACGTTGCCCATTAAAACAAATATGCGAACATTATTCATGTCCGGGCAAGCGTGAAACTTAACTACGCCCCCAATGGTCGGCCCGAACAAGAGATATGTCCCTGTTAATAATGTGTGGAAGTGTGCTCGTTCTCTTATAAATCTGTCGACGGGCATGCAAATTGCCACGCAACCCCCTTTCCCAGTGATCTGTGCAGAGCATAGAACTGGGAAGAATTTCACCTGAATCATGCATAGTTTTCATTATTATTTTGATGGCAATCATGGGGAATTAGTGCGACAATGGACGCCTGTCCATGGTGAAGCGAGACAATGAAAAGCACAGAAAATAATGGAAGAAAATTCTCCACGAACTGCCATATCCTTCTATGCAGGCATCTCGGCACCTCTTCTCTCTATCGGCTTAGAGCCCACCTCTAATTGCCTCCAAATTGTATGGTCTGTAAGTGCTACTAGTATTTGCAGAGCAGAGCAGAGTACGGAGCTGCATACAGACTCCGACACAGGCAGACAGACACACAATGTTGCCTCGTTCTCTTATGTTGTCTCTGGTGGTCCTCATGTCGAATTCATGATTGCATTGGCATGTCTGCCCATTGTCCGTGCCGCCGCTCCTGGCTATGCAAACTACAAATTTACAAGGACAATATTGACGGTGGCAGGCAAACAGAAATTCGAGTCCCAACGCAGACCCAACCGCTCAGCGTTAAATATTTGTCCGGCCCGGCTCATGGCCGGTACACCTGTGTACTCATGAGGGCTCGACAGATCGGGAAACCAAGAGGAGCAATTGTGGCGATCTGAATGGTGAAACAGCAATCAGCCTGGCCACTTGAGCTCATTGTGACAAGGCTCTTGGACAAGGGATTCTTCAATAATTCACTGGGAAGGGTTTACTGGGAAAACATTGTTCCCATCAGCTGAGAGACGGAACAAGAGCAGCAGCCCCAAGTTATAATGACTTTCTGGCAGCAGAAATTCAAGGCAACAGCCTCGAAAGGAAAAGGCCAAGCCGAAAGAAGGTATAAAGTGCAAACAAAACCGCAGGCCATTGGCATATGGCCCAGAATCAGACTTGCCCAAGCTGTACTTAGCCTTTGCCCTTTGGACAGGCAGACAGCTGATTATATACACCAAATGGATGCAAAGGAAAAAAAAAACTCCCCTCTTTACTCCCCTCCCATCGCATTGAAATTCTCATAAGACGCAGAGCAACGCATGATAAATTTTCATTGTTGTCGAAACATCAGACACCCAGACTAGCAGACGTCGAGACTCTGGCCATAGCCGAGATGTTGTTGGCCAAGCATCGTATAATTGGTTTACGAGACGAAGTGGCTTGGGCATTGATTGATGCCATCGATTAAGAAGTCGGCGAATAGAAATGTGACCGGGTCTCGGTCTGACCATTGTGATTAAATGGCCGCAAACCGCCTGACAGTTGGCTGTCAGCAGTCGACACCTGCAGATCCATCAGAGAGGAGCCGAAACCCTTTGGCCCAACCTTTTGCCAGCCCCTTGGGGCGCTACGTTTGCTCCTTTTTGATTGCTCTGGGCTCGTTTTGGCATTTTTCTTTCCATTTCTGTTGCTGTTTTCCTTAGCTTTGCCTTATGCTTGACCCTTCCATCCATCCATTCCGTGCTGTTACTTTCGGCATTACGCCTTAAATATTTCAGTAGCAATCTTTTAGGTCCGAAAACAAACAAAGATGAGTGCAAGTGATCCCCCGACCTTTCTATTCATTGTTCCAGGTGTATTGTTGTTGCTATGGCAAATAATAAATTGATTGGTTGCCTGCCTCCGGCAACATCTCCATCAACAATACCTGTGCCATGTTTAGATAAGGAGACTCCGGGGGCTTCATTGGTTTTCTCTGTTTTTATTTGGAGATTAAGGGGAGAAATAATCTGTTGACTTTTTTGAATTAAAGCGAACAATTTCTGGGGCTCTGATTGAGCTTCCTTTAAGGTGACACACGTAACGTAATAAATCTTAATGGGCGCAATTGTCGTGGCAGTGCTCCGTTCTTCCTGTGCAAAAAATAACCACTAAATTGCTATTCCCTCTCAGATCAAGGACATCACGCGCAACATACGCAAAGCTGTGGTGGCCACCACTCTCGCAGAGATGCGCCTGAAGGTGGCAGCAAAGTTCCAGCGCGATGAACCGGCGATACACCTGGACTGCGATGGCACCGAAGTGGATGACGAGGAGTATTTCAGCACCTTGGAGCCAAATGCCGAGCTGATTGCAGTCTTTCCGGGCGAGCAGTGGCGAGATGTGAGTTAGAATTAATGCCTCCCCAAACACCTTAACGCCCCTGACCGTTTTCTACCGTCTACCCTCTACCCGCTTCCCATGTCCTGCCCCTGTCCTGTCCTGCCCTGTCCTGTCGACAGCCGAGCGATTATAATGCCAATCTGCGGCGACCCTCGTTGGATGCCCAGCGCCTGCGGAAATTGGTGGGCAAGCTGCAGCAGAACTTCATCAATGACGACTATTTGGACAAGCTCTCCAACATGGATCCCAATTCGCTGTTGGACATAACAGGCAGGGAGCCAAAGGACAACGAATACTGTGCGCAGAGCGAGGCGGCGCGACGATCCACGGAGCTGTCCTGCTAGGGCACATGGACAACCGTGCAGGGTTAGAATGGACAGAGACAAGGCCTGTCTCCTCGATGATTGGGAATGGAAAGCCGCTTATGATAGAAATGTAAGGAATTTGTACGAGTTTTTATTGTCGGATATTTTTGGAAAACGTTTTGATGCTGGCACTTGGAGCGAAGCGACCGATTTGTACGGATTGCGCGGGGGTAGGGGGTGAATTTTATCTGCATCTCTAGAGCTAAATGTTGTGTATTTTTCGAGCCCACATTGTCATAGATATCTATAGTGCCCAATCTCAGCCGACCATTGTTCCTAGACCAATAGCTGTGTGTAGAAGGTCTCAAAGGCCGAACCCTCTCAGTCTCTTAGATACCTTTACACTCGTCCCACCTAGTGGGGCATCCTCTCTGTACCTTACCTGTCTGTTTCTTCCGTAGCAAAGTCACTGCATGTAAACACCAGCCAGAAACCATTAGTTCTGGGCTGCTAGGGAACAAAGACCAGTTGTAATAATTGAATCTGAATCTGAATCAAATGTCTGCTGCATAAATGTTCACACACAAGGCACCAACCGAATTTGACTTAATGTTTGTATGGATTTGTGCAAAAACAAAACACTTTTCTGCACCAACAAAAAACAGGCACTGATGGCCAAGGGGGAGAGAGCAAATACGAGTACTAATAGTCGACTTGCATCGAGTTTACTTATTCGTTCTGTCCACCAACAAATCAATTCAAATTTTAATCTGCAACTCGACAAAAAGTTTCGAGGTAAATGTGTGAAAATTACTTTTTATCAATACAATAAATGGAGAATAAATGTGTGTGTTTCAAAGTCGTGGTTTTCATTCCTCCTGCTGTACATATACATATGTCCATGCCATGGGCCAAGAATAAATTGCAGTGTGTGCTAGTAATTTGAATGAGGCACTGCACAAGAGGCATTGCATTTCCTGTCGCCCTGGACTTGACTTGGCACCAGCTGTAATTATCCAAAGTGGGCAAAAGATGGCTGGAGATGTGAATGAAGAGGATGAGTTCTTTAAACTCTTTTTGCTCTGGTCAGTTATTTGCAGTCTTTAGAATTTCTACGAGTTTTTCCTTTCAGTTGCTGCTCCTTGTAGGGGAGAACAGTAACGAAATGCGTCAACATATTAGATGCTGAAGGGCAAATACTGGACGACTGAAAGAGGTCTTCATCAAATTGGTTTGGGAAAAGCAGCGAAACGGAGGACGGGGAGCAGAGCGTATCCATCAATAGTCAACAATTGTGGGCAGGAGCAGGAGCAGGAGCAGTGCAGCATTGATAGGGCGACGGGCAATGAATGGCAGGTATACCGGATAGGAGCCCGAATTCCTGCTTAGCTCTTGTTCTGTGACCATCACCATGGAAATCCGACAGATTGGTAAGCTAAATACAATGGTTCTGGGAAACGGAAACCGTCGACAGGGACAGAGGAAGTTGCGGGGAAAGTAAAACTGATGAAGGCCGGAGACTGGAGACCGAAGAGTAGTTGGAATTTCGACAGATAAATCCAGACAGCAGGACGGAATCACACATAGAACCTTTGGTCAGAGCCAAATGGCCTTGCCTTCCCTCCCTGCTTATACTGGGGAGATAGGTTCTATCTGTGTGTGTGTGTGTTTGTGTTAGTCTTTTGAGTTAACGTAAGCATCGCATTTCCCTGGCAACTTTTGCTCTTTTTGTTTAGTTTGTTTTTTCCGTAAAAGTTGGAACATGCCGCCGCTTGGTTGGTGCCATCTGGAAGGTGGATTGGGAATGGCTGCCAGCTGTGGTTTACATTAGCAACTATGAGAGATTTATGCACAAGTTATGCGCTTCTTGGTGTAGCCCACAAAACTCCATTCTTGACAGCTCATTGAGCTGTCGGGGGACCTGCTGGAAAAAAACCTGAGCTCCCGTCGCGGCAGTCCCATTCGGTGGGGAAAATGTCATTGTTGTTTTGAATCAAATGCATTAAAAATGTATTGAATTTTTTTTTGTATATGCTTGCCCGCCTTTGGCTTGCCTTCTGACAGTGCACTTAAGCTTAGTACGCTCCGTGCTGAGGGGGCTGGAGGTGTGACTAATGCCGTTGAGTGAAACGGAATGATGCATCTGGAGCAGCAGATCAAGCCATCGGAGTCCCATCGTGCAGTGCAGAGCCAGCACTCAACCAATGGCAAACAAAAGCAATTAAAAGGCTTAAAGGATCCTGCACTCCGTCACCAGCGACAGTCATGATGTGGAAAAAACATCTCAACTATCAACGAATGAAGCACTAAGAAATGATTCTGGTCATCATTTCATTTTCATTGGCTACTCGCTACGAGTTTTGTTTTCATTTTTAATTTTTTATTCATCGTTTCACAATTCGTTCTAGCAACTAAGGATTATGGATAACATTATGCAGACACTCGGGTAAATTGAGATTAATTTGAATCGAAATAATCAGGAGAAAAACATAGCTAAATGCTCATTGACGACTGTCAGCGCTCCTTCGACAGTTTTCTTATAAATGCCCTATGCTAAAGGAGCCAGCGGGGGCCACAATAATGGGGGGTGCATCAGGGGGATAAGCAATCAATAATATTCCAAAGGGCGGCTGTTCCAGAGTCTGGCAGGGGGAGTGGGTTGGGTGGGTTGTGGTCGGATCAGTAGACGAACTTCTTCTGCTCGCCGTATATCGACTCGTACAGGGAGGGGGCGAGATGCTCGGCCAGGAAGATCTGCAACTTTTCGGTGGCCGTCACGGGCGTGTAGCGGGCCATGGGGAAGGTCCTGGTCACAGCGTCGATGAGGACACGCAGCGTGGGCTGGATATCAGCGGCCTGTGGAGAGAGAGAGAGAGAGAGAGAGTATGGGGAGGGGGGATTAAATACTCGTTAGCTCACGGACACGTCCGGCCTTGCTTCTCACCTGGCGGGAGTATTTCTCCACCGACGTCATGGCCGCCTCGTAGTAATCCTCGCCGTAGGTCTTCTTCTGCTCCGACGATAGCTGGTTCCACATTTGCTTGGCCTGGAAGCAGATGCGAGCAGCAAGGATAAAACGAGACAAGCAGAGTTAATGAGTTCTCTCTGGCAGCGCTCTGGGGTCTGGGGTCTGGGGTCTCCCCTCCTTCGACATGGTTATGGTATCGTAAAAAACTAAAAGCATGGCAAGGCTGCTCGGCTACTCGGCTGCTCCCCCTGCATGGCCTCTGCCATGCCATTAAGTGGGTAGGAAAGGCATCTAATGCTCACCTGGTCACGGAGCTCCGTCTCGTTCAGCCAGCCGTTGCCGGGAGAGAACTCGCCCGCCGCCACCACGGACACATCCACGCCTCGGGTGCGCATCTCCTGGCGCAGGCAGGCGGCAAAGCAGTCGACGGCAGCCTGGGTGGCGCACTGGATGCCACGCACCGGCGAGGGTACGCGGTTCAGGCCAGAGGTGAGGAACACCACGCGTCCATGGGCGCGACGGACCAGCGGCAGAAAGATTTGAGTGAGGCGAGCGGCTCCTGCAAGGATAACACAACGGAACTTAGCACTCGAACCTGGTGCTGTTCAGTGGCGCCCCCACTCACCGAGTAGATTGAGATCCAAGCTTTTGCGCAGCACCGCGAATGGAATCCATTCAAGCTCTCCCAAAGCTATCCAGTGGGCGCAGTGGACCACAGCCCACAGTCCTTGGGCGCCGTGCGGCAGGTGCTGGGACACAAAGCGGGCAGCCTCCAAAAGCTGTCGACAAAGTATGTGGAACGGAAATGAGCTAAAAGCTTCGAAAGCCCCCAAAAGCTTCTCTGTGGAGACTTACGGTCTTCTCCGACGTAACATCCAAGTGCAGCAGCTTCATGCGGCCGGAGGTCTCCTCCTTGAGGATGCCAGCCTCGTCCGACTCCTCGATGGGGGTGTTGAAGCCAGCGTAAATGGTGAAGCCCAGATCGTCCAGTTTCTTGGCCAGGTACCAGGCCAGCGGTGCCTCGCAGCCGGTGATTAGGACGCCCTTGCCCGAAGCCGACACCTGGTGGGGTCCAAAATGGAAGAGGAAAACTTGAGTGATTTGGGATTGTTCAACCCATTGACGGTCTCCGAGGCAGTCCAGTCACTTAATTAATGTTCAATAACTTTAATACCAATTAGCCGTCTACTGTTCTGCGCTGTGCTGTGTGTGTGGGTGGGTGGATATGGATGTCGGTGTCGGTTTCTCCTCTTTCATTGCCATGTCAGATGTTTGACCTTTAGTCCAGCCAAAAATGTCTTTGTTAGGCTCAAAGTTTGTCCACTCACTCGGGCTACTTAAAAGTCAAGCCATCGAGTAGTCTTAACGACTTTCTCCCTATTTCTAGGTGAATTTCGTGAGCAGAACAACGCCCGAATGCGTGGATATTTTTGTCCGACTTCAGCTCTGACCCACTGATGGCAGACAGACGAGAGTCTCTCTCTTTCCCCCCGCCCCCCCCATATTGGTGGGGCAGGAAGATGTGTGCTCACTGATACTTCCGCCTCAGACACGCGCCAATCCACTCCAGCAGAACCAACCTCCACCCTCCACCCACAACCCACAACCCACAGCCCTCCCTCTGGATGTGGATGTCAGTCAACGCGCCTGCGGTAGTGCTGGTGTCATAACTCATCATGCCATTAACCACTGGAGCTGGCTAGCCCGACTATGACTATTGGCCTGCCTGGCTCGAGTGGGCGTCTGGAGGGTGGGTGCGTCCCCTAGTGTGCGTCAGCCGGTCTCGAGGGGTAAGAGGAAATGGAAATGGAAGTGGAAGTGGAAGTAGAGATGGCTACTCATTGTTCGGGCTATCAAACTGTTATAAAGTGCTCGTAAAATTGTTAAAAAATGAGGAGATTCGTAGAAAAGGAGGCAGTAGTGTCAGTCGGGGAGGGGGCAGAGAGATGGTGTCGTGTCGTGTGGTGTGGTGTGGTGTGGTGTGTAGGGTTTGTATTATTATTGGCTGTGCTGTTGACACCCATTAAGACTGGCCGACATTTTATTGTGGCCATAAGTGTTTTGCTTATCGAAATCTGTTGGCCGTTCTTTGGCGTTAATAAAAATAAAACTCTTCGGGATATACACCTCCCCTCCTGCCACCCAATCACTTCTCTATCTACGTATCCACGCAGCTAAGTTTAGGAGAAACTTTCTTTCGTTCAGTTTTTATGCGAATTTACTTCATAATACTCTTGTGTATATCCAGTGGGATGTGGCTGGATGGCTGGATGGCGGTAACTTTTGCCACTGCAAGGAATCGCATTCTCTGATGTTTTTTCTGGCATCCCCCAATTTATGGCTGGCGGTGCTGTAGAAATGACTTTAAACTTGGCTGCAAGTAAAAACCATCCGCAATTAAAATGCAGCATGGAAAAAGCGCAGATAAAACCGAGCAGATGAACTGAAAAGGCAAGTAAAAACCCAGCAACGAAATGTTTAGAGTCAATTAAACTGCACTGGGAGCATGGCCAGGGGACAAGTGGCTAGGAGTAGCTTGTGCACAGGGAAACCCGATAGAAAAACAAAAGCATTTGATTTCCTTGGTGAAGTACTTCTCGACCAAGAAACAACTGTGTGTTCAAGGGGGAATCTGATCTCGGACCAAGAACTTATTAAAATTATTACAAATTGGTCCAAGGGAAAAGCTGGATAGGATAATCCCTGGCCAGCAATTGATTGGAGTCTGCCAAATTGGTCCAAGCCAAAAGGATTATGTTACATTGAACCAAGTCGAATTGTGGCAAGACCAATTAAAAGATTGCCTTTCAAATGGTTCTTCTTCTCTGTCCCCTATTTCCTTGGTCTATCCTGGCTGAATACTCTGCTAGAGACAGTGAAATTTGTTGTGAATTGTCCTCAGATAACGTTTGCACCCTGACGCCTCTCCTTCACCGCTTACTGTACCATTTCAACAGCATTTCGTGTGAACAGGAGGAAAGAGCAAAGCAAAGGAAACTAAAGGAGAGAGCGCTGCACGTTAAGCCGTCGAAAGAAACTTTGCCCAGTGCAGGAACTACGTGCATGGGATCAAAAAGCCGACCCCTTGACACTAGCACCTGCCACATGCCCTCATGCCGCATGCCTTATGCCTCCTGCTACCTCCTGTCTAAGCTCTAACACTCCCTCTCTGCGGTCATGTCATGTCTGCCAGCACGTCGGCTTGCGGTTCTTTTTTAAACGATCCCAAAATAGAAGCAAAGTTGCATGTACCAAAATAGATTCAAGAGAATTCACAAAGAACGCGAGTGAGACGACTGCAGCGGGGCAGCCGGTAGCCCTGGGGCATGTCAGTCACCTTCATTTGAACGAGCTGCCTGTGCAGGGAGGGTGGGCAGTATTGGAATGGCAGAGAGAATGCGAGAGTTGTTGGTACGAACGAACGATTGGTTGAGCGGAAATGGGACTTTTCCACATTATTCCGAGCATGCAAGTCAATGAAGAGGCAGACACAGGGGGCGACCCCTGCTTCTGCTTCTGCTGCCAGTTTAGCAATTTAAATGCATCCTTTATTGCATTTTAATTGCAATTGCAATTGCAATGGGAAGTAGAAGTGCAAGTGGAAGATTTATGCCCCAGGCCGTGAGCAAGCAGCAGGCAGCAGGCGGCAGGAGGCAGGTGCCGCCACTCACCCACCCAAAGCGGACCATTTTCCGCACACTTTTATCCGAATCTGATGAATTGCAGTGGGGCACGCGATTCGCCTGCATTCGGACAGGCCCCCCCCCCTGACCCTCGGTTTTCCTCGCCACAAGCTCATTAAATTTGGCTTACGTACACTGGGGGCGTATACGTAATATTTATATAATGCATTATGCTGGCAGGAAAAACTTGGAGCTTGGAGCCAAAAGGGGCAAGAAGAAGGGGAACGGGGCCAGCAACTGGCAGGTTAATGTGTAAACTGCAACAAGTTAGCAGCACTTTCAGAGCCACAGAGAAGCGGCGGACAGTGTCTCCACATCCTCCTCCTCCGCATCATGCTCCGCTTCTGTGTGTGTGGGCGAGCGGAAAAGTAATGCGTGTAAAGTGTAAACAACAATGGGGAGGAGAGAAACTTTCCGGGAAAGCATGTGCGCCTTCATTTGCGAGAATAAACTTATGACTAGCGGGTGAGTCCGGGGATTGGGCAGAGGGCCGGACCTGCTCCGGGTATTACGACCATGAAGATAATGCGAGAGTGTCCGTGTCCGTGTCCGGCAGGGGAATTGCGTGGGCTTGTGTGTGGGAGGGACTTTGTGAAATGTGGATAAATATTATTGGGGATGTAAATAAAAATCATAAAAAAATAGGAAATGAAATGAAACCAAACAGGAAGGTGGGTTATCAAATAAATTCTTACTTAGAGCCTCCCAATAATCACTGTGATGGACAGGGATAAAAAATCTACAGCAACATATTCTTCATAAGTCAAATTCATTATCTTATTTGTACGACTATCATTTCTCCATTCTAATCTATCTCTATCTGTATTTTCGTTTTCCTTTTCCTTTCCCTGTCACCAGGCGGACACATAAACCTACCGAGAAGAGCGCGACATGCTTGACCGCTCGGGAACCCTCGCATAAATCTACATAAGCATAACGCAGGGAGCGTGAAAGTGGGGAACGGAAGATACGGCGGAGTACGGCGGTGGGGTGTGAGCTAAAGTGAAAAATGGCAAACAAACCGCATACAAATTGTCCCCACTGTTGTCACCTACCCTTCGCCTTCGCCTCTCGCTGTGCTCCTCTGAAAAAGGCGACGAAATGTGGCAAAAAAAAGAAGAAGAGAGAAGCCAAAAAATGGAAAACAAAGGGGAAGCACGCACACGCATGCACGCATATTAAATCAGTGGCTAAAAATAACCGGAATGAAGCAGGAGGATGGGAAATACATAAAATACATACATACATACATACACACCATATAGAAATTAACTGAAAAATATTTGGCCAAGAGGGCAAATGAGTACAAATGAGAGCAGGGGGCTAGGGGCGAGGGGCGATGATCGCTAAAAGTCATTGAACGTATTAAGCAGTAATAAATTAATTAACCGGAAAGTTAAAAACCATTTCTGTGTTTTGCTTTCCGCAAGTAGACAGAGATAGAAAGAGAGAAAAGAGAAAGAGAGAAAAGAGAAAGAGAGAGAAAGAGATAGAGAGAGTGGATAGGTAAAAGCACGCACGTACCCTTACTGGCGTGTGGCTGTCAGGTCCTTTGGCAACTTCACGCCATCCGCAGTGAGGACGACGTCAGCATTAAAGGATTTTCGCGTTGCGCATACGACGCGATGTACAGAACGAAATGAACTGAATGGCAAGGAATGGCATAGAATAGAATCTAAGTATACAATGTTAATGTTCTCTGGAATGGAATCCTAGGCCAATTTGCAGCTTGTTCTCTGACTTCCTACACCATGTAGGAGTAGGTGGGTGCCTCGGTTCCTCGGTGCCTCGGTGCCTCAGTACCCCCCTCTGTGCCTGTGTGTATGTGTCTCTGACAACACGCAAAGCTTTGACTTTGTGCCATGCCAACCATAATGGTAGCACAGCATGTACCACATGCAAACATCGTCCCTCTTCATCTTCATCTCCATATCCATCTCCATGTGTGCGCCAGAGCGTGCCGGTATGCGGCTATTTATGTATGTTTAATTAAATTGTGATTGTGTATTGGGTCTGCAAACGATGCCCCTGGCATTTGAGGTTAATTAAAACGTAGTGCATGGGTTCGAACATCGAATAGAGAAGAGATACGAGATACGGGTAGTGCCACTCGCTGTGCTAACCTGAAGAAGAGTTCTCGGGCGGATACTTTCAACTACATACTTCAAATACCAAATGGACGAATAAGGATCGAAGTGGTTGTATAACTGCGGTTAGGGGCAGGACTACCAATCAAGCGGTGGGCGATTGCAGCGTCGAACCCTGACCTTTTCCTCCTGAACCGTGCATGATGCATACGAGCATGGTGGATGCACGGCTGCGTCATGTGCAATTGGTTTTTAATTTAACTAAAATGCGCAGCAAAACTGTGAAGTCAACGGAGAATGTCGGGGCACAGGCCAGCTCCTGCTCCTGCTCCAGCTCCTGCTCCTGCTGTTTATTTTGCTCGGTGGCTCGGCAAAAAGTTGTCAAGTCAAGGCGTTTTAATGGCGTGCAATTCTAAGAAACGCAATGCGCGTAGATGGTGGCCACATGAGCCATGTCCTGATGTCCTTCATTGCCAGCCATTGTCAGGCCGGGCACGCCATTGCCATTTCTGAATGTCCTCTGTGTTTGTATGCGTATGCGTTTGCGCATGTATCTGTGTGTGTGTGTGTGTGTGAATCAACAGGCCACGCGCGGGACCATAAAACTGAAACTGAACAGAAACAGAGGCGCAGAGAAACAGAAGAGAGAGAGAGAGAGAGACGAGAGAGGAAGAGCGGGCTAGCAAAACTTTGCACATAATTACTTTTTATGGTGTATGTATGTGTGTGTGTATGTGTGTGTGTATGTGTGTGTGTGTGTGTGTGAAAGTGAGAGACAATGCTGCAGTGTAAAAGGACAAGGGACAGAGGACAACGGACAGCGGACAGCGGACAGCGGAGTTGGGACGACAAGCAGCAGCCTTTTTATATAGCCTTCAGTTGCCTCAGTGCATTGACGGCCCCCAATGGACCCCGGCGGCAGCCTAATTGAGAGTGCAGTCTGTCTCCTCTCCATCCGTTGACAAAGTTCTCCCCTCCTTCATGCCCTTTTTTGTGTATGTGTGTTTTTTTTTCGGTTAACAAGTCACAAATCAGCGTTAAATTTGTGTCTATAGCAGAAGTTTTATGAAGCTGTAAAGGCCACAAAGTGTGCAAGCGAAAAACGAACACTTATGGATGGCAAAAACCAACAGGAAAAAGGGTTTTCTTCACAATGAACCAGCTGTAACATCCATTAGGCGGCCAACAGTTTGCTTCCCAGCTGCTGCTGCTGCTGGTCCTGCTGCAAAAACTTGGTCCTCCCCATCCCAAGCTCAGAAATATACTCGAATGTACGAGTATCTTCCACTTGTCTCTCGAGTTGCTGGCTGACTGGCTGGCTGGCTGGCTGGCTGGCTGGCTGGCTTGCTGCTGGCTGCTTGCTCCTGGCATTAGCGAAACCGATACGATTTCTTCTCGGATGAACAGCGACATCACCTGGGGCTCCGTTCCAGCTTGGCCTGGCAGAACTTTATCCATGCAATCCACGGTAGCGCCATGGCGCAAAGTTCAAGGATGTGGGTGGGAAGGAGCCTTCAATTGTATGCGAATACGAGTACGAACTCCCGCTTGTTTTAGATGTTGCTACTGCTTCGCGACTGCCCATTAGGGTTGCCAAGACAAAGCTATTAATTCAATTAGTTACATTCTCTTCTGTTAGTTGACATGTCCCGAAGAGACACCGCCCTTTGGGCAACGCGACGCTTAATTATGCACATTACGCAAAGTGTAATTGCAGCTGCAATGCAATAAAACCGACACCAACACCAACACGGACATCGACATGGACATGGACACCGACACGGGCAGTGGCAGTGGGAGTGGGATAGGCAGAGGGAATTTGCATTTTAGTGCATTGTAGGACATGGAAGATTGTTGAGCATTTCATTAGTAGGCATTTACATTTCATTGCACCCAATTTGAGCCGTCAACAGTTGCCTCCAGCCCCATCCAACCATCCATCCACCCATCCACCATCCATCGTTGGCTGCCTGCCCCTTCCACGGGGCACGGGTAGGGATGGATATCTGTGCGTGCGTGTAATTTAATTTGACTGTCGTGACATAAAAATAAAATGCACAACGTGATATGCAAGGCAAAGCAGCCAACAGAGAGAGAAATAGCCAACCAAAGACAAACAGGCCACGTCAGCGAACCGAGTTGGACAGGCTGAAAGCCATCGAAAGCCACATTTGTCCCCACATATACCCCGGGAACACCCACACACACACACACACACACATGAACATGAATGCGGTACGGTACGGTACATACATATGTAAGTATGTTTTGCAGCAAATAATTTAACGAATATGTAAATGGAAAGTGGCTACGCAGGCATAGCCAGGAAACAGAAATCTGGATATTAATCCGTCCATCCAGCACGAGCGGAAAACTAATCAAATGCCAAGACATTTCTTGTTGTTTTCCTTTCCTTAACTTTGCGCTCTAAAAATAAACCCACACGCCCGCAGAGAAATATTTTTCCAGGAAGAACTTGCGAATGCAAATGCTTCACGGAAGTTCTCAAGTGAAAGTGAAGAACGCCATCTCAGATCTAGTTAATTAAATGTGCCTTATTTAGAGTAACTGCATATCTTTACCAGCAACTTGTAGAGTACAATCATACAAATTAAAACATTCTTTGATTCATATTTTAGTATTAAGAGCAGTTTCATTTACACGCAAGCAAGGAGACAGCACTTTGCTGGATGGTCTGGGAGGGGAATGGGCACTGGCCTGCTGCTGTCACCTGCTGGCACTGCATCTCCTGCTGCTGCTGTTAATTATTCTGCAGTCATACTTATTACCTTAATGATGGGCACTTCCAGTTTCAGGGACACTGAAGCGCTGCCTACGTGTCCTGGAAGCCAATCACCCATCCAGCAGGTAGTCCTGACCTTTTCGCGTAATTTCCGGGCAGCAAATGGCTCTTGTCAGCCAGCCTGCCATCCCCCAGATCGTTCATGATAGTTAAACTAATTAGAGTGCACGCATATTTAAATTATCCGTGGAGTTCGGTTGGCGCCACCAGCCCATATAAGCGGGAAAACGGTGTGAAAATAAATATATATCATATGTAGCATTACTGGTGTCCATTGTGCAAGAGGAGAGAAGCATAAAGTATTAACATTTTCCACACTCCTGGCGTGTGTATAAGTATGTAAGTAATCTGAGGAATTCCGATTTATCCCGTATTCTGCTTTATCGCTGTTCGATGCCACCCAAAAGAGGATTAAGTATGGTGGAGCCATATTTAAAGGGTTCCCCTGAATTTATTTTAAGCGCTTTTATTAAAGTTTCTTCCACAGAAAATATATTCCGCTCTGTCACAACATTCTTTTCCTTTTGTTTCTGCAATTCTCTGGGGTTCCGTCTGCACTTTTTCTCTTTTCCTACCTCCCTCTCTCTCTCTCTCTCTCTCTGGGTATCTTTCTGGCTGCTTATTTATTTGTTTTCATTTTCATTTTCCTACGTCGACAGCCAGCGGAGAATGCTGTTAGTCCGGGGACGGTTTTACATGTGTGTTTGTGTGTTTGTGCGTGTGTGTGTTAAGGGGTTCTGAAATATCAAACGGAGCCAAATCCAAAGCCAAAGCCAAATCCACAGTCAAGGGTTTCCTCTGGTTAAACATAAGTTGACGTTGCCCCACAGGACATTTGTCCAAACTCCTGGGGCCCGCCCGTCTATTTTTAGTACAACTGATTTGCTTTGCCTACTATTTCAGCGGACCCCCCATCCCATCTTTGTGGTTTGGCAGAGCCTACTTGAGCTGAGACTGAGGCTGAGACCGCGACGCAGACATGCCCCAAAGTGTTGCTAGTGACTGGCTTCTTGTTCTGTGGAAAAAAGAAACGGAAACCGAAACCCAAAGTTGACGTCGAAACCAAAAGCTATCCATGTCCCTACCCTATTTGCGGTATCGCCCGTTGGCGTTGAAAGGATTACACTGTTTGAATTGTATTCTTGTATTCTTGGACACGAGAGTGTCGTTGCGTTACGGACTTACCTTGACAAAGTGGTAGAAGAGCACTGCTCCCACGGTGGCCAGGGCGAACCACACGAAGACGGCGAAGGTGGAGATGCTGGATATGTTGAGGGCGTGCAGCAGATGGGAGCTGACGATGGCCGCCGCCTGGCAGAAGAGGAACGGCATAGCCATCCGCTCGAATATGTCCCAGGGTATCTCCGCCGATTTCTGGGGCAGGGCAGAGATCGATCCACGCCGTAATGATGCACGTCGCGAGGCACGGCGCTTTTAAAAGATAAATAGAGAAATGTATAATCGATTAGAAAATATATATAGATAGGTACGAGTAGCACATCGATTTAAATAATCTTCTGTTTAAACAAACAAATGCCGATTTATTTATAGCAAACACAAATTATGGCATTGTTTGTGGGCCAATTATTTGAAATTCTGTTGGTGTTGGCCCGCTAATGTTGCTCGCTTGTGTTTTGGTCAATAAACAATGCGAATTCCACTCAAATGGTTCGAAATGTTTATTTTGATGATGCTATTCCCTCCCCACTAAATATAAACAGAGTGGGACTGGGATTGGGATTGGGAGTGGGGCACAGGTGATGAAACCCTTTTAAATCTACTGTAATTGCCATTGTCTGGCGTTGTCTGCTTTTTGTACAACATTTATTGATAAATTCGTTCAATTGTGAAACCTTTTGAGCTTTGATTTACATAATATAAATATAGATAAATATATTGGATTATATATTGGATTGTGTTGTTGATTGAGAGCTGGGAATCCGTTTGAGCTAAATGGAATGCATTCATTTTGCTGTTGCTGTTGTGCCTAATATTACTTTGAAATAATGCTGCCTGCCTGCCTGCCTGCCATTCATTGATTGGAAAATCTTTCCATGTGCCTGCCACTGTCTAATTTTCCCTTTCAATTGCAGACACATACCGTCAATACATCATCGGAAATTTCGTTAAGCTCAACCGATTGCAACCACAAGATCGCACACTCAGACACTCAGACCCGCACGTGCATATTTCCTTTCCACAACGCAGCTTACCTCACCTATTACACCGACCCTAACCCACTCAACCACTCACACACTGACATTGACATATAGCAATTACACATGACGTGCACAATACCAACACAAAAATGGAAAGAGGCGAAAGAGCAGAGAGCATAGAGCAGAGCTACTACCCTAAAACCACAATCACAACCGCAACAGCAACCGAAACCCCCTTTGGAAATTGGCCATAAATCAACGACAGTGCGAAATAATCAAATGGTGGCATCTGCATAAATACAGAAGCCAATTGATTTATTCAGCCCCGAAAATAGACCATTTTCATACAAATTCTCATTCCAATTCCCATTCCCATCCCCATTCACATTTCCATGTTTCGGTCTGTTCTTCGTCGCTGGAATTGTAAAACTCTCCGCTCCGGTCTATTTATATGTCGTGCTCCTCTGGGTATTATATACATAGAAGTGGCAATGGCTGGGATATTGAATGGACTTTGTCTTTGCTTTCGTCATCAGCAGCAACGACCTTGTCACCAATTTGGTAGCTACATATATAGCTCTGAGGGGACTAATACTAAGACCTATGTAATTGTCGCCATAATCTTACACAGGAGCTGAACCGACTGGCCCACTCGATAGCGACATATCTATAGGAAATATCTATCTCCCATACATATATGCAAATGTTTCTTGATATATGTATGCACATATATTCCTTTAGATTTTTTGTATGAATTTGAGCACTCAGCTGCCAAGAAATCATCTTGTGGCGAATACTTTGTGGATGTTTGGAAACGTAAAACAGTTTGGTTTGTCTCCAAGCTTATTTTATTATTAAAAAAGATACTTCTCTGGATATTAATAGACTATGTGGAATGAAATTGAATGAAAAATAAATATTTCTAGACCGGAAAAATATTGCAAACAAATACAAGTACGAATATATCGAGTACTGAAGAGTCTGTGTCGGTATTTCAACGATCGAATATTCCAGTTTTATGGCAAAATATATACCATGTATTTTGGAAAACTGCATCATGATCTATATATATATATATATAATTAGCCATAAGTGGGTATTAGGCAATGAATCTGCCCTTATATAAATGTTGAAAAATGTCAAAGGGCAGAGCAACGTACGAGTAGCTGATCCATATTAAAATCCAACCAATACTCATATCATTTACACATTTGAAAAGAGTCATTCAAAAATCCTTGGGCGCTTTTTCCCCCCACTCTGCCCACTCTGTCTCCTGCAATTGGCGGTGGCTCGTACGTACGTTGTCCCACTTGGATCGCGGCCACTAAGTGAATATTTGTAATTAATTTGGCGGCGCATTTTGAACACCGCAGGTCTTCCTGTCTCTCGCTCTCTCTCTCTTTCTCTCTCTGTCTTATCCATTGCTGTCTCTCTTTCTTTGGTTAACAGACAAAACCTTTTTCTGGAATTTGCGGCCAAAAGGGGCGTGGCTGAGCGAGAAGTCAGCGGCAAACTAAGGACCCTTGCGACTTGAATTTGTGTATTGGCATTTCTGGGTTAAGCTAACTGGGCTAAAAGCGTAGCTAGGTGCTCCAGCAAGCCGTGGCGATGGAAGAGGGAGGAGGCCAGAATGGCAGCACAGAGCTGCGACAATAAATTTGGCTATGGCATGGCCTTTGGATTGACGGAGGGAGGGAGCGCGAACCGTACACAAAAACAAACACAAACACGGGGCCAAGTGCCTGTCCAGGATACAGGAAACGGATACAAATGGCCTCGATTCGGGGCGACATTTCACTTACCATATTGTTATCGAAAACCTGCATGATGACGGATGCTGCTGTTGCTGCTGCTGCTGCTACTCCTTCCTGGTGTCGCGGCTAGAGGGTGGGAAAGAGCACAAAGACGGACGGTGGATGGATGCAAAGGGCCTTCAACTTGGCTTCGACTGGGTCTCAACTCCTTGGTTGGTTCACTCACGTACACTGTCTTGTGGCTCAGCTTGCTTGGTCAAAATTGTTCACAAGAGATTTTCAAAATATTTCGGAAAAACGCTTTCAGTTTATGTACTCGGGGGTGCTCTCGAAGGGGCTCGTGGCCTGGGCGCTCTGAAACACGGCGTGGCACTAAGCGGTTCGATCGACTGGCGCTGCGTGCAGCTGCCACAAAACTCATTTTCTCTCGCCTCAGCTGCGTCGCAGTCGCAGTTGATGCTGTAGCGCTGCCTTAAAAATTGTCGTTTTGCCGTTTTGACTTTTTAAAAATATATCTCAAAAATACGAGTATGTGCAGACAGGCCCACATACGCACACAAAAACACACACACACACATTCAGATATAATGAAAACGAAGATACATATTCCGTTATTTAGATAAATAAATATCTTTAAATTTTGTATATTTTTGCTGTTTGCTCTCATCCGCCTGCCCAGCCGCCTGCCGCCGCTTTTAAGCATCGTTGAATATTTTTCCAACACACAGCAGCAGATACAACGGACACACAGATACGAGCACACGGCCACAGATACACGGATACACAGATACTCTAGTTTGCGGCCGAAATATATGTCGAATATTGTTCGTGCAGCGTGCAGCGTGTGGCGGGCGGCGGGAGGCGGTAAATGGTAAATTTGAATATTGCTTTAAAATGTCGCCACATTAAATCAAAAAGTACTCGAACCTACCGTGTACGAGTGCATGCACATAAATATTTATGGGACTCGCGCCATCGACCCAGAACCCAGTCCAGAGTTCTATTAGGGGCTGGGCGGCCTTCCAATGGGGTTTGTATTTGGTTTATTTGCTTCCATTTTTTGAGGATGGTTTTCCGCGACGTCACTGGGTTTGTTTTTTTATACTTTATTTTGTTATTGTTCATTTGCAAATTGCAATTTAGCAGGCCAATCTGCAATAATTATTTAACTTTCCATTCCATTCCGGATTTTTATTATTTTTACATTTTAAAGCCGCCGTTTATTAGGACAGGAAAAATGCATGAAAAGTCCATTGGCATAGGAGTGAGCGTGGGAAGCTCATTCAACTTTATCGATGGTACGTACTCGTAGTACTATGTAGTAGTACTGTGAAATACAATTCACACCTCATACAATTTCGGAATAAATTTGGCACACCAATTTGAAGGTGAATAATGTATGAAATTAAAACTGATTGGCAGTAACGAATCGAATTATGAAAATGGAAGGTATGAAAGGTAAAAAAGCTGGTTAACAGCTTTTTATAGTCAATAGCCAATCTCTGAGTGGCTCTGTGAAAAAAATTCCCTTTTGCTGTTCCTTTGCTGTTGCTTTGCCCTTGGTGGTTCAATAAACAGTCTGGATTCTCGATTTTTTATTTCTGTTTCTTTAATTGTTGACTATTTTTATTTGCCGCTCTCCAACTCTTGACTATTTATATAACCTTCGGTATCTGTTATTGTTTATGCATGCCTATCTATATCCAACAATATCGTATATTATTGTTATGCACAGAATTTGTTGAGTGGCTGATGCTGATTCTCGGCTGTAGAGACGGTACAATAAATTGACGTCTATATTGGAGCTTTGTGAACATATTTAAAATGACATACGAGTATACAAGTATACCTAAATGCCCGAATGAAAAGATGGAGAAATATTTGCTTGCGGAGGCAATGAAAGCATATGTTTCTGCAACATTTCAAATTGTTTCTTTTCGACTGTCTGTCAGTGCCGCCAAATTAACAGAAAAGTTCTTGGTTTTTTGTGTTTTTGTTTTTTCCGTTTTTTTCTTTCAGTATGTCCCCAAAAATTGCATTTTATAAATAGCCAAGAGGCTAATGGACAGACTTCTCTCTGGCCTCCTCTGCTGCGCACTTTGAAAAACAAAGAGCGAAGATTTATGGACCCCGCTGTTTGTGCCAGAAATCATAAAACGCAGCAGCCAAGCCATCAATCAGTAGGGGGAAGTTATTAATAATTACATTACTAGCGTATGCTATCAGAAACAATGAGGCATTGAAGTACTCGTCTGTTTGGATATCACAAAATTCAAAATTCGTTCGAGTTCGAGTCGCAGTCGGAAGTATGCCCAAGCCAAAGAAAAAGGTCAAGGAGGTGGACTGGACCGCCGATGAGAACTTTAGCAAGGAGCGTTCGATAATCTACGTTGAGCACACCACCGAGTGCCCCATCTTCCAGATAAAGGCCGAGGAGTGTGGCGTCTTCTTCCAGCAGCGCATCCCAGAGCGCCAGTTCCAGATGGTGAGGAACAAGCAAGGCAAGCAGGTGCCCCGCGAAGGTGCATTCGAGATTGGCTTCTCCCAGAATGCTCGCACCTCCGTCCACGAGCTGTGGTCGGGCCTGACGAGGGGTCCACCCCGACGTGACAAGTTCCCCAACGATTTTGAGCTGCTGGTGCCGGATGTGCAGCGAATTCTGAAGAAGTTCTACCCTGACAAGGCGGTGGGCATCACCGACGATGAGGAGGACCAGAACGACTACTAGCATAACGACAGAATTTAGCATAAGAAAGCGCTAATGCGGCTTATTGTCAACGTCAATGGTGAAGATGAGCCATCAGGCAACACCTGTTGGGGCCTACACCTCCACCGAATCTCTCGACGTCACTCGCCGCCAAACAAAAATATACAAACGATTAGCGTGGCTCTTTCATCTGTTATTCGGGTATGGGTACCGCTTATTGGTCTCATTGTTGTGCTGCTGCGGGCTGCGGCTGCTGACTGACGTCCTGACACCGCCATGTGACAGCAGCTCTTTTCAGAAGCTAAATGCTTAAATCGACAAAAGATAATTAACCCAACACACAAAGCTCTCTCGCACACCCACACACAACCGGCATTATGCTTCGCACTATCCTCGGGGGACACCCCAGCGACGTCCCATTGTCTGGCAGGCCGACACCACCAAAGCAAAGCAATAGCAATCCCCCACGACCGAACGAACAGTCAGTCGCTGCTGGCAAAACAAACAAACAAAACCCAAATGCAATTTCGAAACACAAAATCAACGGAATAAAAAACGATGTAGCAGCAGCAACAATGAAAACTATTCGATTGGATTTGGAAGAACAAATAACAAATAAGACTTTAGGGAAGGGAAAGAGCAGGATGAAGGGGTGGGTAAACCACCACATAGTGCTATTGCTACTATTCATCGTATTTCAATTATAAATTACAAAGAAAATATTAATCGGCTTGGGTCCAAAGATGATACTAGATATCCAAAAGCAACCAAGTTTGTTTTTTATAATATAAAATTATTATGCAATATGCCGCTGAGAGCTGACTCTTTGGTGGTTTCATTAGTTGGTTGCTTTGATGAGAAACGAGTATGTTGATCATCCTATCTATATATGTAATACATGTTTCAGACATCATTTTAGTAAATAAATTAGAAAATAGCCCGGCAGCATCCGGTCGATGTGCAGCTGCAGCCAATGAATGCTTTGATTCCATGTTAGCCCAAAGGATTCGCACTGCATGCCACGGCCAGCAAGTCATAAAAATCCAATCCAAATTACATTGTGACCAAACAACAACAAATGACAATAACAAAGAGACAGAGCCCCATAACATCCCCAATCCCATCGCATACCATCCCTAGAGGTCTGGCAACATTTGAACAATAAAACTGCAACTGCAACAGCAGCAGCAACAAATGCTGCTGTGCAAATATCAACTTCAGAGTGGGGTGGGGAGTACGGATAGTAGTTAGATGATTGCTTGGAGGGATGGATGGGATGGGATGGGAAGGGATGGTATGAGATGGGTATGGGCCTGTCTAGTTTGCATATCGCTAGTCGGATTAGCATGCAAATTAGCCGGACAGCAGCTGGCAAGTACAGATGCTTTTTTGATTGCCTGTTATGAGCCATGCTCCTGACGAGCCGTATGACTGTTGAGTTGAGTATTGCGTATACGTCATGGTCATGATCCACCAACGACAACAAAGCCATTTCCACTTGACCAATACGTTCTGTATGGAATGACTTGCCCAAAACACACACACACACAGAATAAACGTAAACTCAAAACTCATTCAAGTTAAAAGGCGAAAGCCACTTTGGAACATATGTATTTCGCACATCGTTAATATTAATAAAGTCTGTACAAACTGGCCAGCTAAGAATGGCAGGAGGATAAACCAAGAGACACTGGAAAATTTGTTACCAATCCCAGTGGACCACAAGACGATAGTAAAGCGGAACTATCGCAAAATGTTCGTAAACGGACTTAAAAATTCCTAATGTGAATAACTCGTCTGTGTAAATTTTGCTAGCCGGGAATAGCGCTTGCGCCGTCCCTCCTTAAATAATAAATATGCGAACAAAATAAAATACGAGCCAAAAAATATTATTTTTAATTTAATTTTAATATTACTTTCGGCTCGTTAATGATATTAAAATCGTATCGTAAAAGATAGCATAAAAGATACCTTCTGCGAGCTACCGAAAACGAAACTTTTACTGCCACAAACTGAGCGAATAGTGATTCATTTTCTTATCGTGGCGTATGCCAGCAATAAACGATCACGAGTCGACGATTAGAAACTATTAGATTGTTGAAATACACTTGTAACAGTGTGATATTCTAGAAGTCTGGATACAAATTTGGATGCTCTAGCTTGTCCCTGAGATCTAGGCGCTCAACAAGACGGACAGACAGACTCGGCTATTGATGCTGATCAAGAATATATATGTGCTCTATAGGGTCGGAAAATGTTCCTTTCCTTTATTTCATTTCCTTCTGTGAGACCAAAAATCGAATATGGGTATACTCCTTAACTCTTCGCGTACCGGGTATAAATACTTCTGAAAGGGAGGAAAAGTATACCCTGGTATACACTTATACTGGGCATGAAAAGAGGCCATCAAACGCCCGCCCCGCCACCGATTTCCACAGATTTTATGTGACTCGAGACTGCCACTCGCTGAGACAAAGAAACGTCTGCAGCATATTTTTCGTGTCACAATTTATTTGGGGTAGAGATGCTCCTTTCCTTTTTATGATGGCAGCGGGAAATGGGTTAATGTCCAGTCCGGGGCAATTGCATGGGCATGGAAATGCATCCAAAAATGAGAGGAGCAGGCAACAGGAAGCAAGAGTAGTGCCTGCATGTGTCAGTTGTCGCACGCATATCGAAGGGAAAACTGCTGAGCTCCGCCCAGAGCCAAGGACAACGCAGGGCGACTGCCAAGAGCTGCGGAAAAGTCCAAGGAATTTTAATGGAAACAGACCGCAACATTTTGCATTAGAGTTTATTTTTATACAAAGTTTGTTTTGGGGCAGGGAGTGCTAGATGGGGTGATTGCGACAGGGGAGTGGGCGTAGAGTGGAAAACATTTTCTGGTCCGTGCCAAAAGTTGTTTGGCAGTCGCTCCTGCGACTGCTTTGCTGATGCAAAAATAATCTACGCACGGGAAAATCCAGAGATGGAGGAGAAAATAAAGTGAAATTTGTGTTATTTTTAAATTTGCAGTTCCCGCCCCTCAGCACACAAACACACACACACACCACACATGATTTTCCGCTTTCCCATCAATCCGAGGCTCTTTGGAGTGGCCTTTCGAGCGAGTATAGTACTTGTGATTCGAGCTCGAATAGGAATAGGGGCTTAGCCATAGGCTCCACTCCACCAACAGCTGCAAGGTCGTAGACGTATCCGGGCACGTTTGGTTTCCTATGTACCGCATCCCATACCATACCATACCATACCATACTATCCCATCACATCCCATCCCATTCCACACCATCCAATGAATGGCCATCTACGATCTGGCCATCGATGTGGGTGTGCAACAAATTGCAGCCGGATTTAAGGGCAATTTATTTCGCAGAGAACCAACGAACGAACGGGCAGGAGGTCGGCAGGTCGGCAGGGAAAAAGGCCACAATCTGCCATTTTAGGCTTTGGCATTTGTTTTATCGCGCCTAGACCGACTCGCACGTCGGTTCGCCTCCATATGGACTCGAGTCCGTACTCCGTACTGCTCTGCCATGGAAATGGAGGAGCAGGCCATGCTAAATCCCCTTTTAATGAGCCAGCCCGCCCAGATGGGACATTGGCTGATTGCACGCCTAACTTGCCTGCAGATTGCATTTGTCACACCTTAATTAAACGGCCAGGGCTAAAGGTTGAGGGCTTGGGGCCCAAGGTGGGTGAAAAGGTCACTTGCTGGAATCGGGAAGCGTAAAATTCTGGAAACGAACTTTGACCTCTCACCATTCATTCCAAAATGAACGATGTGCGACTTTTTATTTGCATTATAACCACCACCCCTCCCCCAGTATCATAAAAGCCACGACATTGGCTTCGCCTCAGCTTTCTGCTTATAGCTTTCCGCTTTCGATGGCGACTCCTTTTCGTTTTCCGTTCCCGTTCCCATTCTCCTTCTCCTATTGCGTTCTCCCTTATCCGTGCTGCCATGATGATAATGATGATGATTTCCGCGAAGCGTAGGGCAATAAAAAGGAGGAGAGCATTTCGAAAAGAAAGGGAAACGGGATGATGGCACAAGGTAATTAAGCGTAAACCGACAGCAACAAAAATACAATTTCGTTTATACTCCTGGGTGCAATGGCTGTGGCGACCATCAAACTGCCGCCTGAGTTATGTCGGTTTACTTGTGACTCCAGACCTGACACCCCACACCCCACACCACCCAATCCCCCAGTTTCCCCAGGTCTCGTAATACTGCCTACAGACCACAGGCCCGTCCTGGTGCTGGCTTTGTTATTAGCTGGAAATTAGTTTTCGGCTAGCGTTAATTAAAATTTACGACACCTGTTTATTTACAAACAAAAAAATAACGAAAAACGACACAAGATCCAGGGAGCTTTGTCATCCACGCGTTTCCTTCGCTTGACAGCCGACGAGGACAACGCTTTGGGTACGTACAGTTTATCAGTTCAAGAAAAGCTAAACCTTACTAACAACTCATTTTAATTGCTTTAAATTCGTTGAACATTTATTTGCACTGCTCCTTTAAGCAAGCTCTCATATTCCAAGCATAAAAATCTCCTTAAACCGTTCCGTCTATAAGCTCGATGCAGTTGAACGAGAGATAGGGATAAGTTAATGAAATATACCCCCAGCCACCTCCTTATTCCATGGTACTATAATAGTGGCACGTAACGCATCAGCTATCAAATAAATTCTCCGATATTTATATATTACCTGATGGATTTTACATCGTTGTTCGCATTGCCACAGTTCGCCACAATCCGCGTGGCTCTGCCCAAATAATCCGCATTAAATGAAGCATTCGACATTTTATACTGACTGAGGCTTCGTTTTTATTTAATTTTACATATTCCGTTCTTGTTATATGTATATTTTTATATATATGTATATATAATCTCATAAATTATTTTTGTGTGTATATATATATAGATTTTTGTTCGTTTGTAATACATTTTTGTTGTTCTGCCGCATAATCATATTCAATAATTCAATTGCAATATTAATAATTGTATTGTTTTTGTTTTTTTTTTGGAAATTTTCCTTCATTTGGTTGTGGGTTTTTCTCTTGTTCGAACTTGAATGCAGTTAAGACTTTTTGCTTGTTTAGTTTCTTTAGTTGGAAATATATGTGTATATACTCGTAAGTATCTACCTATGTATGTTTATGTATATGCTCCAAGTCTGTACACATTTGTAGACTTATCGGCCAGCTCCAGATGTTGGTATAATTTATAACCACACCACTGTGTACACACACTACATACATATATAGTATATTTCCATGGTAGTTATGTATTTATAACCGGTATTTGTTGTATTTAGTTACGATACTATGCTACTTGGCATCACCATCACCCGCATCATCCTCATTGGCATTGGCATTCGCATTCGCATTTGCCGCCATCTCTACTCCATTGCTACTCGATTCGCTTCCATTTACATTATACATTTATAACCATAATAATTTACAAGTTAAATGGCTTAGAAATTAATAGTAGGATCTCCTGCGGGGCTACCATACATAATACATAAAACACTTTCTAATTAAAGTTAAAAACATTTCCCGCTTCATCGTTTTATCGTTTACTTCCTTAT